CATTTCTATGGGTGCCTAATTCATGATACTCTCTCCTATTACAGTTCACCTGCTTTAAACTGTTAACCTTCAAATGGTCTTGGTTTCCTGTTTACACTTCTGGGCTTCGGGGTCTATACGACCCCAACAATTGATTGAGTAATTATACAAAAAATATACATTTTTAATCATACAAATAATATATCTTTTTTTGTTTGTTTGTTTACGTCTCATCTATTCATTAATGCTGTGAAACCCGATCTCACGAATTCGACGAATGATTAAAAAGTGGCTAATTCGTAACAATTCATACGACTTCACTCGTACGAATTAATACGATTTTGCTAAATCGTACATATTTTACGAATTGGCCAATTCGTATGAATTCGTACGAATGACCTACCCCTTACCCCGCCCCTAAACCTAACCATCACGTGGGTTTAGACAAATCGTACGAATTAGTACGAGTAAGGTCGTACGAATTAGTACGAATTAGCCACTTTTTAATCATGCGTCGAATTCGTACGAATTGGTCGTGAGATAGTGTTGGCTATTCTGTGCTATAGCACTAATGCTATTCAACATTGCATTTATGCTCTGGTACTAGGCCTTCATTTCTGTGTACATTTTTTTTTTTTTTTTTTTTTTTTTTTTGACACATGAAGAATTTTGACCAGAAGTGTAAACTTTTTTTTACATACCTTAAGAACACCCGAATCAAGCTCAGTTTTTGTGTGTATAATGTATGAGAAGTCACAAAATCTTATTCCATTGAGATGAAGGGAACCTTTTTTTATTAAGTAAAAGTCGATTGGGGTTGTATAGACCCCATGCCCCGATTGAGGGCTACAAAACATGTTAACTTGGAAAATCTATGTTTTTTTCACTTTTATTTTGCCTCTGTCTCAACTCTTTTGGAGTGTGTTTCAGCAATCAAAAAGTGTTTGATGCAGTTGGTCAGAGAAAATATTGGAAATCCTTTCTTTATGCGTTTGTCAGTTAATTCAAGAGAATTAACAAATTACAGATTCTTGATTTTTTTTTTTTTTTTTTTTTTTTTTTTTTTTTTTTACATTTTACAAAATGTCCCAACCTTTCTGGCGATGGGGTTGTAGATATCTTCATATAGTCTATTTTGATGTAATTGATTGGCAGTTTCTCTCTGCATGTGTAAAAGAACTAAAGTTCACAAAAGATACCATTTGACAGTATACGGACATAAATTGACAGTATACGAGCCCTTCACAATGTTAAAAAGAAAATGTGATATGAAGTCATGTTTTGTGACTGGGCATGTAAGTAATATGGATCAAATTGAATATCTCTTCTTGCTTAGTGGAGAAGAGGAGAACAAATATCCTTAACTGGTTTCACTCGAAAAAATGAAAAGGAAATGGGTAATAAGGGAACAGTTACCAGTTTAAAGGTTTATATTTAGCATATATTAAGAATAGCACTTGCTGAGAGTGTGAAGTTGAGTGGTTGAGCTCCAGAAAACTAGAAACAAAAAAAAAACTTTTTTTTTTTTGACAATTACAGATTAACAGCAACAAAAAGCAATAAAGAACCCTAACTCCAACACACAAACACAAAAAAGCTTTGACTGTGTGTTTACTGATCAAAGTAGAAAACCCCAGTTTGGTTCATACGTTTTATCTGAATAGTCTTGATGGAAAGGCACAAGAAACCCTGATATAAGCATTCTTTATGTGTGTCAAGATACTTTTAAAAAATATTTTTAGGCTATTAATGATGAATAGGTATTTACTTCCCCCCTTATATGTTATAATTTCAGGGCCGGTTTTACTGAGTGCTATGGAGCGGTTCCCGTGGGAAACTGTATTAACACAGGGCACATGTCCTTTTCTGCGTGCTTCTATTCTTATGGGTCCATTGACACATTTTGTTCACACCAAACGTGTGTCGATGAACCTGTTTGGACAAACGACCCGTTGCCCGCCTCCTGCTGGCATAAAATTATACATATCTATAGATTTATAAATTGCTCCACCGGTGTGTTTAGCATGGAAGCCCTTTGATTAAAAAATGTATAATTTTGCTTTGGAAAGTCATAATTATGTGATGAAAAGAAATCGAAATGTGGAGTTTTATTATCGAATTTTCTTCTCATAAGTATGACCTTTTTTTTATCTATGACATTATGTCATCATTTCTAATTTTCTTCTCATTATCATGACTTAGTATGACATAGCCTAATAATGATTTTTTTTTTTTTATGGCGGAAACGGGCTTTTTGTACAGTGCAAACTTGCCATGCACGGCGAACCTGGTAATCTGGTTTGGTTTAATGAGTTTCATAAAATTATAAATGTGAATTTTTGGAATTTGGAACAACAACATAGGTTAACGCTATAATTTTTGTTGTAAAAGACAACATCCCAGCAAACAAATATAGGTTCTGGGAACGTTAGTTTTTGGTTCCCACTTCCCAGAACAATACTACTTTCCCTTAAGGTTAAGGGAACGTTCCCGGAACATTCTACTTACGTTATAAAAATGGAACCTAAAATAACCTACATGGAACGTTCCTATAACATTCTTGTTTGGTTCTCAAAAAATAACCTACCATTCGGGAACGTTAGGGAACGTTATCGTTCTGTGTTTGCTGGGATCAAGCTTTTCTGTCATGGGATATCACACAACAGTGTTATGATGGGAACCAGCTATTAAGCTCTCTCTCCGAGTAACACGCACTGCTCACACACCTCAGCTCTTTTTATTACCTGTCAGAATTTGTACATTATTAGCCGAGCGCAGAGACGGTTCCCACGCTTCTCTCCAATAAACACGAGAACACAACGGCAGTCTGCGTTCACATACACTCTTCACTTTCATCACCTTGGCAATGTTTTTGATATTGAAGTTATTGGGTTGATATTATTTTTTAAAGACTGTCTATAGGCTGTCGAGACTTTTCAAAAATGTTCCTGTCTGCCTTTATTCTTATTGTATTTAGCGACACCCATTAGACATTTGCACTCAAAAGGGCGAGATTAAAGCAACTGGCACGCGCAGGGCCATTAAAGCGCGCGAGGGTTGATGTGTTTGCGCGCATAAGAATGAGAAAGGCGCAGGTGAGACCAGACGGCCTCTCTGGGGATATTAGCATACTTTTGGTATACGCATGCCTATATTATTGTAATAGATATTGAGCGAAAATAATAGAACGGTAAACAACAATGCGAAATTATTAAGTTCCACGCCGTAATAAAGGCAGAAAAGCCTTTTACAGATTTCATTTGAGTCATTTCGGGTCGGGTTGTTTCTTGGGAACCCCAAGAACTTACTTACAGTGAGATCATTATTTTCCAAACGGGCAACAGAACCTCACAATATGCAGTGCTGCATCGCCTAAATTGAGAATTAAAGGCTAAACTTGCACAAAGGGCACAAATTGTGTAAATATTTAACATTCGCCAACAGGCAATCGTTTGAGGAGTGTTATGATGGGAACGCGTTTTAGCCACGCTCTCGCAGTAACACGAACAACTTACACCTCACCTATAGGAACATGGATCACACCTCGTTCCTGTTTTATTACCTGTCGGGATTTTAGCTATCACTGAACAGAGACGTTCCCACGCTACTCTTCGAGAAACATTATAACACAGCCTGCGTTCACATATAGTCTCGATTTGTATCACTTCCATGCGTGTTTTTGACATTTTGCATCAGGTTAGGAACTTTCTGCTACCGATAGAAGGCGTGGAGATAGAATATCTCCATATAGAAAACACTCGTGTATGATCACACTTGTCAAATTCATCTCCATCTTTACCTTTAGGCATATTTTAGCGAAGCGTATCCAGTGAACTATAGACAAAGCAAATAAATTTAGGTTCTAAGAACGTTCTGGGAACGTTAGAACATTCTCCTTACGTTATAAAAATGGAACCCAAAAATAACCTACATGGAACGTTCCTGCAACGTTCTTGTTTGGTTCTCAAAAAAATAACCTCATGGGACCATTCGAGAACGTTCTGTGATTTCAGGGCACGTGCTGTCCTCGAATTACAAAATCCTTACTCGATCTTTAAAGCTTTGATTACTTTTTGCGCTAAGAAAGGATGTATGCCATCTTCAGAACATTAATGAGCAAGAGTCTATTTACATAGTGATTTCAGTTAAATGAATAATGCACACGCACGCTTTCACATGCACACGTGGATGACTGCAGTCCACGCGCGCGCATTGTTCACAGGCGTGAAGTTGGCACGCGGCACGAGACCTACAGAATTATAAAGAGGTGTGAACACACGTCACCTTGCTCTCCCCCTGAGATTTCTACACATTTTATTGTACCCAGATGGTTAGGCTACTGCGACTGTGACTTTTTTGAGCAAAACAAATCCACAAAGCGTGGATTGGCACGCGCTTATTTATTATTACGCACAGCAGTCCTCGTGTTTCTTTATAGCCTAAAGCTATTCTAGCTAAATTTAAGTTGTTTATTTTTTTTAAAATGGATAATTGCGAATTTAAGTTTAGTTTAAACAAGGCGCGTTTGAAGCCTTGCATTATCAATAAACGCAATCCCGTCGTGCGTCAATATAATATCTAACTGGACTCAGCCTCGGCAACCTTATGCTATTCAAATAATTATATGAACATTCTGATAATGCATTTCATATTCCAGAATAGTTTATAACAGTTGTTGCTGCTGTTTTATGCAACTTGTTCATAACATCACTGCAACGCATGCAGATTAGTTGATTTTTTTTTGTTGCTACATTAATATCTAGCTACAATTATGCGAAAACGTCCAAAATAGACAAAATTCCAACAGTGTCAGTGGAACTATGACTCTTGACATTAAAAGAAAGCTCTTCTCCTTTTATTGTTATAATGGCGTCTGTGTCACCAGCGGCGCGTGCTGGGCTATTGATATGCATATTTACTGAGGCGCGCACGTGCCCACGGAAGTGTTAGCGAGAGTGTGCCACCGGTGCTTTTCATCTAAAATCGGCCTGAATGTCTTCAACCAATTCAGTGGAGATTATATATTAGCTAACTACAGCAATAGGTACAAAATAAGAAGCTATTTGTAATAAATATGTAGACAACAGTCTACCCAGAACGCGATATTAGCCTAGCTACTCCGATGCTTTCGACTTCAGCAGTGTCAGTGGTTCATATTAAAATTCCACAGCTTATAGGTATGATCTTCAACATTACAATACGTTTTAATAGTATAGCATAGCCTATATACTTGTAGTGTTTTGTTTTTAGCTGGGAACAAACTGCACGAGAGCATTGCGCGTTCAGGTTCAGCCTGTGACAGATAGTGGGCGTGGTTTCGTGGCCACGCACCTGGAAGCCTATAAATTCCCGAGCTCAGTGTCAGACCTGCATGTCACTGTCTGCGCGCTCGAGGAGAGATCTTTACCCAGCACACCTCACAGAAGAGTACTCGGATCTTTACTGGATCGCCACTGTTATAAACCATTGTTTGCAGTATCCGTGCGATGAAAATCCTTAAAGGGACTGAGACCGTTAAAATGGACAGAAAGGTAAATATTTATTTCTATGCATGAAACTCAAAGTCTAACAATGCAGCCTGGCATAAGCTTGTAAACCTCGACCTGTCCACTGATACTAATGTTTTCTGCAGCTGTTGAAGCCTGAGGTAGAAAGAAGGAGAAGAGAAAGAATGAATCGGAGTCTGGAGAACCTGAGAACTCTTCTTCTGCAAGGCCCTGAGCACAATGTAAGAGTAGCATGCTTTTTCATGTCTCAAAATAATAAGCTTAATAATAAAGCTTCCAAATATAGAAGAACCATTTGCACACTGTCAAGATTTGTAATCACAACATTTTTTCTTCTTGTCAAATCAACTTAAATAATTTATTTAATTCAGATAACTTATTATTTTGAGTTTCTGATGATTAAATCAATCTCCTTCGTTGTATTAACTCACTTTTTCCAGTTCAATCAACTTAAAATTTTAAGGCAACCAGGTTACTTATTTTTTTTTAAGTTAAACCAACAATCTTTTTTATATAAAGAACCTTTTGCAATGTTAAAGGTTCTTCATTAAGAGTTCCCTGTGTTTGCTTGGTCTAAATCCTCCTCTTTGATTTTCAGAGTCCTTCACAAAGAAGACTAGAGAAAGCAGAGATCCTGGAATACACCGTTCTGTTTCTGCAAAACTCTGTCGCTCAGGCCAAAGCAAAGGATGTGGAGAGAGAAGAGAAACATCAGTTCGTGGACGGCTTTTCTTCATGTCTTCAGAGAGCGGCCCGTTTCCTGTCGGATGAAGGTGATTCCCACGGGCTGGAGGCTTCCGTCTCAGAGACGATGCGTCACCGTCTGACTCGACCTGCATGTCGTCCAGCGTCAGACTGCCGCTCAGGGTCCAGAACGCCTCCAGAACGCATGTTCCAGATTCACAGAACTCTGTTTGCAAACAAGGACTTCCATCCGCTTGCAGGAACATTGTGCCAGACTCTAACAGGTTTGCCTCCTCAAACACACAGCACGCGACGGGCCGGCTCGACTCTCAGCAACAAGCAGCGGTCAGTCTGACGGTCTGGAGACCCTGGCCTTGAGAGAGATCAAGGCTGAGACATGGACTCAAAAACATCGGGCTTGTGTAATAATCAGACATGGTTCATCTGCAGAGAGACATGTTCATTTCCAAAAAAAATCTAATGTTGTGTAATGATTTCGACATCTCATTGGAAATGTGTAAATAGTGTATTATAAACATGGCAATATATTTTTTACACAGATGTTTTTTTTTTTTTCCTTTTTCTTTGCATGATCTGTACTGGGTGTATGATCATTTGTAATACATATCTGATGTATGTATTTATCTATTTTGCACATTTATTTATTCATGATGGCATTCCATTTTATGCTCAGATTTATAGGTGTGTATTTTGGAGATTGAAGCGAATACATTCCATCATTAAACTTTTTAAAATGAATCGTTTGTGTTTTTTTTCCTTCTAAATAATATTAAATGTTGATGTTTTAATGATCGCTTTGTGCACGCGCCGCTTTGATCACGGAAGCCTTTGAAATGCGCGCGCGAGTGTGAATGTCGGTGTTGGAATATCTGGCACACTTCCACAAGACTTCTGTTCACACACCTCTGCTTCCTCTGCTCGTTTGTCTGCTCAGGTAATGAAGAAACAGTGTGAAAGGGCGCCACGTGCCTTGGCACCTTGACGGAGACATCCGCATAAACAAAGATGTGCTATAAAGCCCATTGACTTGCCGTAGGCTATAAAGTGTGTGTGTGTGTGTACAGTCTGACGCACGACTTTGGATCATTTTTTACTCTAGTTATGGGCTATAGTTTGTATCAAATTGACGTTTTTAAAAATATGCACGAGCATAGTCTATGAGAAGAACACTTGAGCAGCATGTGGAGAGAAATTGAGGATTAAAACTCGCTCTTGTGAGTTTATTCCACTAAACTGGTGTTTAAAAGCTCCTAGACATCTGAGAGATGCTAATGACTGGACAAAAGGCTGAAGTGAACCTGGTTTAACACGTCTTGGGCTCTGGATTTTGTCTCGTAAGTGTGAAGCCCACACGACTCAACGACTGGCACGCGCATTTCCATCCGTTTGAACCAAAGAAGCGTGATTTTTTTTACACAATAAACCTTATTGTGGCCAGGGAATGAAGGTAAGATGTCTTTCCCACGCTTCACGCTTTTAGGTTGTTAGGTTTTTTTTATTTCCCTCCAGTCATTAAACCGTTCAAACGGCTTGTTTCCCAAAATATAACCTAATCTGTGGTTATTTTAGAAAATTTTACAATAACGGTTTAAAGTTTGGAGTAAAACATTTTTTATGTGTGTGAAGTCTCACCACACCAAGGCTGATCAAAAATACAGTAATGTTGAGATTACAAATGAATAATTAAATGTAATAATTTTCAGCCTCATTAGTGTCTTCGGTGTCACATGATGATCCATCAGAAATCATTCTAATATGATGATTTGAAACATATATTATTATTATCAATGTTGAAATAGTTTGATGAATGGAAATTTCAAAAGAACAGCATTTATTTGTGTTACGTCTCCTTCTCCTGATAGAAGTATGAGTAAGACGTATATACATAAAAAAATAAACACTACAGTTTTGGTCTCTGTTTTTAATATAAATCTTTTGTAACATTTTAAATGTCTTTATAGTGTCATTTTTTCATCATTTTAATGCATTCTCATTTGCTGAATAAAAGTTGTTGTTTTTAATCTTACTACCCCAAACTTTTGAATGGTATTCCGGTTTCCACAAAACTGTTTTCAACATTGATAATAATCAGAAATGTTTCTTGAGCGGCAAACAAGCATGTTAGAATTATTCAGCTTTACATAACAGCAATAAATAAAAAATAAAAAATTCTCTCAAGTCTCAATTTATTTGACCAAAATAGAGTAAAAACCAAAAAAATGAGATATATTATTATAATTTTAAATCACAGTTTCCATTTGAATATGAATTTATATGTAGGCCTATATATAAAGGCCTAGTTGCAATCGAAATTATTTAAAGACTTTCAGCTGTTTGCAATGATCAAATCAAACAAAAATTTAAATAGCTTACAACATGTTGCAAGTGTTTAAAACTAAAACTGCATCTTTTAATGACTTCTGCAGTCTCAAAATGATTCAACCCCTTCATTGGAAAGCATCTCTACTTAGTTGAACACCCTTTTGCTGTAGTTGTAGGCTAATGAGCTATATAATCTGACACCAGTTCCTGGCAGCGTTTCTGAGGAATCTTAGCTCATTCCTCATGCGCAATGGCGTCCAGTTCAGTAATATTCTTGGGTTTGCGTGCTGCAACCTCCTTGGGGTTCAAGTCAAGTGACGACGATGCAACTGTAAAATCATTCAGGACTTCTTCTTCTGAAACCAAAGAATTTGAGGTATGCATGGGATCATCTCAAGGGGGTCTATAGACCATTTCACAAGATGTAAACAACACTGGTCCAGAAGCACTTCCTGTTTCAGTTTTTTAACACTAAAAGCTGGGATAAAATACAACCAACAGAACATTTAAAACTGAATCAAAAAGTTAAACAAACATCTTTATTTACATGTGAAATAAAGAAAACCGTTACAAACTGAAACAGGAAGTGCTTCTGGACCAGTGTTGTTTACATCTTGTGAAATGGTCTATAATGGCTCCCTTGCTATTCAATTTATATGAGATATTCAACGTATCAGATCTATTCAAAATTGTATTATTTGCTGACAATAACAACATATTTTATTGATATCTACTAGACTTATAAAGGATGTAAATCAGGAGCTAAATTTGAAACATGGTTGGATTTAAACAAATTATCTCTCAATCTAAATAAATCAAAATTGATCATGTTTGGCAATTATAAGGAAAATCATGAATTACTGATAAATATAGCCTAAATGGTATTAAAATTCAAAAAGTAACAGAAATTAAATTCTTGGGAATCACGATAGACAACAGAGCTGGAAATCACACATTGGACACATACAAAGGAAGATATAAAACAATTGCAATTATAAATAAAGCTAAATATGTTTTAAATTACAATGCGCTGTATATATTGTATTCCAGTCTTATAGCCATACTTAACTCATGGAATTGAGGTCTGGGGCAATAATTATAGCCTAAAACACCCCCATATTACTCCAAAAACGAGCAATCAGAGTTATCTATAAAGTAGATTTATGAATTTAATAGATTTTTATAGAGCACAACTTGTGTATAAGCAAATCGGGTCCTACTACAGTAAATATTCAAAAACTTTTCATAAAAAGAGGCTGTTACAATTTGAGAGGTTATGGTCAACTTAAAGTGCTTTCACAACAACGAGGAAAAGTATGTGTGTCTGTGTGGTGCCAGGCTTTGAAACAACCTGAGTGCCCAACTCAAGCAGTGCCCATTCATTCATTAATTAATTTATCAATGTATAAACAAGTCTGTCTAAGTACAGGATGGAAGAACATCCTTAAACGTGCGGGAAATAGCTGCAGAATATTCTATTAATGTGGTATCTGTGACTGGTAAACTAAAAAGTAATATAAGATTGTAATATTATAATTCAATAATTTATGATTACGATCAATTGTGGCCACTAAATACATTGAACACACTATAAAGAAACGCTGATCCATAGCGCCGAAAAGTTCCAGTTTAGTTTCATCGCTCCATGCACAGAACAGGATCCCAAAATTTCAGTGGTGAAAACTGTGCCCCCTAGTGGAATTACAAGAAAAACGACAATGTCTAGAATAGATATTCACAAATATCCCTTTTTTTTTCTTTTGCATGGTCTGTCTGTATAGGTGTATGGTCATTTGTAATATCAATCTGATGTACATATTTATCGCACACTTTTCGCACATTTATTTATTCATGACATGCACTTGTGCTTATGCTCAGATATATTTGTATATTTTGGAGATTGAAAAAGGCCTAGGCTACATTAATATCATTATAATTTTCAAAAGAATTAGTATCGTATTTTTCTCTTCATTCCATCATAACAGAAATGCAACTGCTGCATGTCTTATCTATTAAATTGAACAAAGAACCCAGACGAAATGTAGGTCTACATCATTAATGCTTTTTGGCTAAGTCAGCACTCTTGGCATATTGGATCTTTTGGTCTCAGCGTAATATAAATCAGTTTAAATATATGGGACATCCTCATAGCTTTTGTAAATCTGGGACATTTTCCAAGTAGACAGTAAAAAAAAAGTGTATAAACCTTTAGGTTTGAATATGAGTCTAAGTTTACAGTAGCCTTTTAAGTCTTTATTAAAGATAAACAAAAATATTACGGAAATATACATCAAACCATGCATCATGTAGCCACGTACACAACACTAAATTTCCATTGTGTATGGTAACATGGATAAAACGCATGTGTTTTTACCCTTCATTCACTGTTACGGAGCAAAAATGTGCAATAAAAGACCATCTACAATAAATACAAAGCCAGATTAAGTTGTGCTGCTCATCTAAAATATTAATTCCGAAGCACCAAAATGTTTATGATCAAAATAACCAACAATGATGTTGACAAACCACTGTAAACTTCCCCACAACTGAAGATCTTTCACTTTTTATTCTTAATACCAGTTCTCAAAGAAAATCTGGCATGTTGAGAAGAAATTTTAAAGGCATTTTTATAATATAACTTTGAGATGTAAAGAAAGAACTTAATGCAATGCTGTTTAAAGTATGGCTGGGACATTAAGATTGCAATACACAAAATGAAGTGCAAGTTACTGCACAAATTAAGTTCATATAGGTGAAAAAAAATAATGGCATTTAACAGAGCCTAAATGAAATTCACCCAAGAATGGTCATTTAGTCACAGGGTTTAAACCTGTACGAGTTTCTTCTGGTGAACATATTTTGAAGAATGTTGGATATCAAAAACTTGACTGTTGCCATTGACGTTTTTAAAAATTAAAGTCAATGGCTAGTCAGCTGGTTACCAACATTCTTCAAAATATCTTGTGTTCAACAGAAGAAACTTATACGGGTTTGAAACAAATTCAGAGCAAAAAAAAAAATTATAATTTTGTTTAACCACCCCTTTAAATGCAAATAAATGCGACCTATCCGGTCACTGAAAATGAATGAATCCCAATACACATTACGCAGTTAAATAGTTTATTGATAATATTAGTTACAAAATACAGAAAACATAGGGCGGTTTGGCCGCACTGCAAAGAAACAAAAGGGAGGTCCGTGTGCTAACAGACTTCTAAACTACCAACCAATACTCACACGTATTATAACGACAATTTAACGTCTAACCTTAACGTTACATACAACAGACGGCATTTATTAGACCGTAGATATAATATAAATATATAAGAGCGACTAATCCAATGCCTGTGGAAACCAAACAAATTAAAGATTCTTTAGAGTAACGTTAGCTTCACTTCAAGCAGATTCGACACTGGTGCCACGAGGAGAAGCAGAAGCCTGTGAAAAAAATAAGAACTTAAAATTAGAAGTTACAGGACAATGTGTATTCTTAAGTTTAACATCTTGAACATTAGCCTTAAAGCGAAAGCGTGTTCCAGTGATTGAGGATAGAACCAGCCGATGGGAAACATGCTGGTACCGAAGACATTGCACTGGGTCTAGTCTCCCTCCATAACATACACACAAGAGTATTACAAACGCGAGCATGCCAAGAATGGAGGTTTGTCAGTCAAAAAAACCGTCATAAAACTTTAATCTCAGCTACTACTCGTCAGGAAAACATTAAAAATAATCTAAGAACTCGTATCATGAGTTTACATACCATTGAACTCCTTTCCCGACAGCTGCAGCAGACAGAGAGAAAGAAAAATGGCGACTCCTGTCTTTTTATACCAGCTGTGTGTGACGTCATATCTGCGCTGAAGGTAACATCCAATCATCTGACGCCTCGAGTGGAAAACGGAGAAACGTCATTTTTGTCTCAAAATAATATTTCAGTTATTCTCGCCACAGTTATTCGTTTTCTTTGGAATAACTGTAATAATTCTTAATAAGAGGACATCCTTGTTTCTCGAAAACTGGTTCAGTTATGGAGTAATGTTAGTGAACCATGCATGCAGATGTTTAACAAATGATGGTCATTTATTTAGCTATGATTTCAAGTTTCTAGGAAATAATTTAATCAAGTTTCCAAGGCCATCTCTTTGGACATTTCTATGCGTTTCAGAAACAATAAAAGCGTCTCAATGATTTCTGTTTGTCTCAGAACTGTGATTTGTTCCTCGGTTACAAAACTAGGTCTTTATTTTTTTAACCATATTACTTCTTTTCCATCCATCTTATTGGAACAACATTTTTGATCATATTCAGTGATCGTTTATCTGGTCACTCGCTCATTTTTTTTTCTTAACAAATAAAATCAAAGAAATATCTGCACACTTTGTAAATTAGGGTAAAATAAAAATAAAAAATCGCGATTGGTGCAGTCAAAATTGCTGATAAAGTCAACTGATTGGACGGACGCGCGCGGAGGGCAAAGTTCACACGGAAGCAAGATGGCGGCTTCCTGTGACAGGTATTCTCTATTGCTCTTGCAGGGTAATAGGATTATGTGTGAATAAAATCAAAGACACAGCTATTTGAAATCCTCATTTTGCCGTTCGAGTGATTTGAATACTTAAATCGCTTTACAGTCTTTGTGAGTTATTCCTCACTATGTCTAAAATCCTTCCTTCCAAAAAACTAACGTTACTGTTGTGGTACCAGAGTACCCCGATGAATCATCGTTTTATCTATAGTAAAGGGTTTGTCTGATTTTAATATCATTTAAAAGCGTTAGCAACCGTGTCCGTACAGGTTATTGTATTTATCCTTTGTGAACTCATGGTATTGTCTTTCAGTTTGTTGCTGATTCTGCTGTTGTGTCTGAGCGCGGCTCAGGCTGTGGATCGCAGCAACTTTAAAACATGCGACCAGAGCAGCTTCTGCAAGTGAGTATGACGAGTCCACTAAATATAAACTGAATATACGGTATAAATTACACGAAACAGAGGATATCTGAAAAGATTAGTGCGGTGTTCTCATGTGATGCGTGTTACTTTTCTAAGCGCTGCTCAGGATGGACCAATCACAGTGGTTTGTTTGTGACGCCAAAATCGTCTAGGAACTTTTCACTTGCTATCATATGTGTTTCCTATCTTTGAAATTAATACACGAGGATAGTTGTACTTTTTAGTTTGCACATCTCTCAAATTTTAAGAGAAATCATCGTCACACAATAGAAGATTTCACTCACTGAGCCAGCAAGCGCCCCCTGTAGGAAGACTATTAATGAAACTTGACAACATTGCTTCCATACTTTTATGAATTTTGATACAATGAGTTCTGGTGTAAGCTATCCTTGGTTCAAAAGTATGGAAGCTTGTTTCCACCTTGAAATTATAACTGCCAAAGCCTTTTCATCAGATACAATGTTTTTCCATATCCACATTGAGTCCACATTCAAAATGAGGCACAGATGTCCCATATCTGATGTTTTTCTGTGTGTGTGTAGGCGTCAGAGGGAGCTGAAGCCTGGTCTGTCTCCGTACAGAGCTCTGCTGGACACACTGGAGCTGAGCGACTCCAGAATCACCCTGCAACTCATCAATGACAACAACAAGGTCACAAAATATACCAAAGCAGAGTTGTTAACCAATAATAACAACAGCCTGTCACTCACATGAGATCGCAGATATAGAAAATGACAATGCTCCAATCATTTTATGATGGACAAAAACCTGCCCTACACGTTTTCCTGTTGGTTGGAGAAGCCATTTCACACATAAACATTACGATAAGGAAGGAAATGCCATTTGTAAGATATAACTTGGGGTGGGAAATTTTAGGCACTTCACGATCTGATTTGATTCCCCTAAATTAAAAGGTAGCTACTCTGTGGAGTTTAATTGTGAACAAACAAGTTTACATTTATTCTCATGTTCTTAAAAATATGTGGAAAGCATTTCCTTCCCCATTAATGATTAATTAACATCATGATAAATATCGATGTCGTATGAAATGGACAAAAGTGTTATGATGATATTTTTGGCCATATCGCCCAGCCCTGTGTTGTTCTCTTTACTAAGTGTGAGAGAGTTGAGATTGTTGTTTGTTTGTAGGTTCGCTTGTTGCTTGAGCTGTACAGACTGCAGGGGAACATGACTCGGGTGAAGATTAATGAACTCAAACCACTAAAGCCCCGTTACGAGGTTCCAGATGTGCTCATCTCTGATCCTCTTACTGAACCGTAAGTCAAATCTACTCGCACCATCAGAACGGCTTTTACTGTATGTACGTTAGTGTTTCTCAATGGAGGCGTTCGTGGTGTTTATTTTATTTAATTATTATTATTATTATTATTATTTATATATATTAGTTTATCAAGTTTGTCAAAGATTTACAGGCTGAAACTTGTGACTACTAGCAAAAAAATGGTATGCTTGATTTTAGAATTTTTAAAAAATAATATTTTAATGTAGAAATTCTTGTATAATAATAAATGCTGTATTTTTTCTGTTTATTTACTATCTATTTTTATTATACTTATGTATCTCTTGTATTTTTGTAATTCAGCATAATTACCCCAGTTTTCAGTGTCACATGGTCATTCTAGTATGCTGATTTGCTGCGCATGAAACATTTCTGATTATTAATGTTGAAAAAAGTTGCATTTCTTCAGATTTTTGTGGAAGCTGTGATATATTCGATGAATAGAAAGTTCAAAAGAATGAAAAATCTATTATAAATGTCTTTACGGTCACTTGATTTATTTGAATGCATCCTTGTTGAATAGAAATATGAATGTATTATTATTAACATTTTTATTATACTACGGTATTTTTTTATTATAAAGATCTTGCGGGTTTACGTTGGAGACAAATTTTTCTCACATTTATCTGCAAACACACATTTGCATAATGACTCAAAAACAGAAATGAAATGTGAATTATGCTTATTAATTATGCACTTTTCCTAATTACATTTTGTCCGAGAACAAAAGAAGATTAGTAGTATTGCCCCACATACATGTAGATCTTTTTGTGATTTGCATGTAGACAAAAACACAATACATGAAATTATATACATGTGGATATAAATATTAATTTCTATTTAAAAAAATTACCCCAAACTTTTGAATTGTGTATCACTTATCCCACAAAAATGGGAAGCAGCACTACAGTCTTCAATAAGAAATGTTTTTTGAGCAGCAAATCAGCTTGTTAGAACGATCTATTTAATGTTTTAAACTATGTTCAAATAGAAAAGTTGTTCTCAGTCAACAACTTTAAAGACATTTTCCTATGCGTTTTTTTCGTATTTGAGATTCGATGGCACCATTAAAACTGCGCACCACAGATGCGAAAAACGCAGAAAATCGAACCCGATTTGATTTTTTTTTTTTTTTTTTTTTTTTTTTTTTTTTTGATGGACAAAAGTTTCCAAGGCAGTGTGCAAACGTGATTGACATAACGTATTTATTTTTTAATAAATTAATTTCAGACTCAGTGTGCAAGGTCCTTAAAGGGATAGTTCACTTTGAAATTAAGTTTTGGTATGTTTTATTTTACCTCAAGGGCATCCAAGATGTATGTATCTTTGTTTCCACAATAGTTTCAATTTTAATATTTTTAGGTCAAACCGTTCTTGTCTGTCAGTCATATAATGGAGTTCTATGGTCACCACCTCAAAGAGCATGCACAGAGAAGTCCAAATTAAACATGATTTAATGACTCGTAAATGTAAGTATTGATGGCCTGAGACACGAAATGAGCGGTTTGTATGAGAAAACGAACAGTATTTATATCGTTTTTACCTTTTCAAAAAGCGCCCGCGCCCTCAGATCACTTGGACGTGGCTGTGGTTACAAGAGGTAAAAACGATATAAATACTGTTCGTTTTCTCACACAAACCGCTCGTTTCGTGTCTTAGGCCATTTACGAGTCATTAAATCATGTTTCATTTGGACTTCTCTGTGCATGCTCTTTGAGGTGGTGACCATAGACCTCCATTATAAGACTGACAGACAAGAACGGTTTGACCCAAAAATATGTAATATTTTTCAAATGTACTAAATTGCAAGAAATGAAAGAAAAGACATTTAAAGTAACTTTCACTTGCTTATCAGTACATTCAGCCACACACTTCAAAAAGATAGTAAAAGCAATTATGAAATGACTTAAGATGCGCTACTTTAGTAGGTCAAAAACACTCTAAATTCAAGATAGTTGCGTTTAATATAAATTTAAACTACAATCAATTTGAACTTCATTGCATTTAACGATCATCTAAAAGCATTACATTCAACACATATATTATTTACGTTATAAATATTCTTGTTAAAAGTATGCTAAAGTGTGTAAACAAAGACACCTTCATCTTGGATAAAACATACCCCTTTAAGACCACTACAAGCTTCTTGTGTTTCCTGGTGTTTTGTTATCTGACTAGAGGAGGATGCATTTTGTGTATTATAATTTGTGTCAGTTTTCCCCCTTCTCGCCATTATATGAATTCTCCTCATTGAGCTGTGTTGTTTGCTGTCTGTCTTCAGGCTGTCAGTGGTGTCTCAGGATGAGAATAGTCTGGTGTTGTGTCTGGGTGGGAAAGAGCGGCGGCTCATCGTAAGTGCTCAGCCGTTTCGCCTGGACATCGTTGAGGGTCCTCAAGTGCTCGTGTCACTCAACTCCCGGGGCCTGCTGGCCTTCGAGCACCTACGAGCACGCAAGGACACGTGAGTACAGCAACACCAATCAGACAGAAAGGGCGTCTCATTCGAGAAGGTTATTACAGATATTTATTAAAATAGACAATGCTGAACCAATAATACTAAAAATATTTCACACTGCTTTCTTTGGCTGTAATTTCTGATTCTTTCTTTCTTCCCTTTGTATTGATAAGTCCTTACACTCATAAGGTGCACAGTTTTCACTTCAAGGCCGTTCACACCAAGAAATATAACTGTAACGATAACTATATTAGCATCCACACCAATGCACAATATTGTTTCACCTGAATGTTTAAATTGTCAAGATTTAACATGGGCCATCGGACGGTCATTTCAATAGTTATAGTTGTCTTCCTTGGTGTCAACGGGCATTTTACATTAACATAGCAATACGGCACAGCTTTAACACAGTTTTTACATTCATTAAATATAAATATGACAAATTAGTAGAAGGGTAGTCTCAGAAAAACTTGTCAATAAATTTCTTGGTCATATTTCACCCCTTAAGTTTTTATTTACACACAGTAAATAAAAAAATGTGACAATTTTCATGACAATTAGGATTTTTAAAACAAACCATATTGTCCTGACAGGTGTAGAGTATGATTTAGTTGATTTAGTTTTATTTTTATTGAGAATATGGGGAGAATAATGAGCTTAATTTATCCTCCATTAAAGGTACAATATGCAGGATTTTTGCTGTTAAATATACAAAAACCACTAGGCCAATGTTATATATTTTGCTTAGGTGATTACTTTCAATATCCCAAATTTTTCCAACTATATGTAAATCGTAAGAAAATCGCGATTTTTAACTAAGGAAATGGGGCGTGTGAGCCGGGGTGAGGAGTCGCCAGTCAATCACGTCATATCCGCGTTACCCCCGGTTTCCGCCAGGTTTGACCTCGTACTGCAATAGTAACCATGGCGACAGACGTGGACAACTGGATCGGTTATGCCCGTTATGCGTGCTCAACAGTGTGAGCGTCCCTAGCAGGGTTTTGTTCAAACATTATGGGCCAAAAAGAGGACTAAAACCAAGATCAACATCTTTCGAGACGCCGAGAGCTCCACGTCCGCGACTAACTTCGACTTGACAGAAATGCGAGTGTTGCATGTTACTTGAGCAAACAGGTGAGCAAATCAATGTATATAAAACTAATCAATGTTATATAGTTCAACATCATGTAAAGTTCGAATATGATCTGTATGTTATTAATCTAGCTTAGTCTCATACTGCCAACAAACAACCTAACTAACAATCAACACACTCAAATGCAGTTTAGTGTGATAGTGACTGTTAGATCACGGGAAGCAGCGCTGCGTTACCTCAAGTTTAATTCCTCTAATAAACTGACCTGTGTGAGTAATTCAGCGTGTAGTTTGGTAGAATTAAATGTCGTTATTCCTTTATATCCGGGGGACTCGCGTTGTGTGTGGCGCTGGTATACGTCTAGCAATCGCGCCCTGCTTCATACCACAGTCATGTAAAAACATCACCATATTAACTCATCCATAAAAGATCCATTAGCTTTACAAGATCCTTAATAAACGTCATTAATATACGCTTATGTCATTGTAAGAGGCTAGCGACCCCTGGTGGCGAAACAATCTTGCATATTGTACCTTTAATACTTGTAAAATAAAAACATTATTTTTCTGGGGTCACCAAGGCCAGGTTGCAACAATTTCCTTAATTACCACTTAAGGCTGGAATACAAATGTGAAGATTTGCCTCAATTTGCAGTCTGGACTAATCCTCAAACTACTGTATGATTCCATCCAGTCAGAGGATATTAAAGTGTCCCTATTATATTTTTTCAGATATTATCTTTCATGTAGTCTATAATATTGCTGTTTGTGAATGTAAAAGGTCTTCAAAGTTCAGATAAATGGAGTTATTGTTTCCTAAAAGAAGTCTTGATACCGAGTCATCAGTAATTTTAGTCTTACTTCCTGCATGAACGTAGGTTTGTAACAAATTTGCATAATGCCAGTCTATCCTCTTCATTGGTTGCCTACAAATGTCTACTTTGTTGTAGCAAAGACTGGAAGAGTTTGGTTCGCAATGTCAAGAAGACTCGCACTGAGATTGATATACGATATGCAAGTGGTGAGAAAGATCTGGAGCTGAACATTTTTAGGATATGGAAATTCACAATAGACCTGGCAGTCTCGGAAAGGCGATTAGAGACAGAATCCTTAATCAAACCATTTCACACACTGTGAAAAAAAGTAGTGATGCTGTAATGTATATTATGAGAGAATAAAAGTGTCTTTTGACCTTTGACGCATATAAAAACCTATTGCAGGAGACCTCTGAAATAAAATTAGGTTTCTCTGTGAGGTTTTGTGACTCTGGTAGTGTATGATCCTGAGTGATTTAGTGTGATGTTCATATTTTGAAAGTCATGTAGTGTATTCCAGCCTTTAGTTACAAGGATTTTATAGATGAATAGGGAAAATTCTGTCATTTACTCATCCTCATATCTATACAGACTCTTTCAGCTTATTTCTTAAGAAGTATATATATATATATGTATATATTTTAGGGCTGTGCAAAAATTAATTGCGATTAATAGCATCCAAAATAAAAGTCTGTGTTTACATAATATATTTGTGTGTGCTGTATATAATTATTTTGTATATATAAATACATGCATGCATGTATATATTCAAGAAAATGTGTTATTCATATATAAAATATTTATATAATATAGATTATGTATTTATTTATATATACAGAATTTAAGCGCAAATAATTCTTAAATATATACATATTTAAGAAAATGTGTTATTCATATATAAAATATTTATATTGATATAATATAGATTATGTATTTATTTATACAGAATTTAAGCGCAAATAATTCTTAAATGTATACATATTTAAGAAAATGTGTTATTCATATATAAATTAAAATATTTATATGATCTAGATTATGTATTTATATATATATATATATATACAGAATTTAAGCGCAAATAATTCTTAAATATATACATGCATGCATAGGTATTTATATATACAAAATAATTATATACAGCACACACAAATATATTATGTAAACAGACTTTTATTTTGGATGCGATTAATCGCAATTAATTCTTGCACAGCCCTAATATTTTTGTACATTTTCTTTTTATTAAAGCTGCAGTCCGGGGTTTATCCTCTTTGTCGCCATCTCTGTTCGAAATCTGCAATTGCAGTCATTTGCGGAATTATCAACTTTACGCGATCTGTAGTTCGACACGGCACAGCGGGGATGAACACAATGTTTGAGGAGAATGTGCAGCTGTCATTCACAATCACAGATTATTATTTTTGGAAATATGACCAACATAAGATTTTTAAATGGAAAATGTCATCTGAACAAGAAAGAAACATCCACTTTTGTTCTGGTTCTGACATTGCTGTAAATCTGCTTTGAATTGAGCTACGGCAAACAGAGAGTTTTGAACACTGGCTGGTTGTGTATTTTCTCAAATATGTATTTTGGATAATTTTTAACCCAAAAAAGCTACGGACTGCAGCTTTAATAAAGTAAGTCAGACACTTTTATTGTATGGACAAAAAACAACAAAAAAAGAAATCCTTCGGGCCTGGAACGACACGAGGTTGAGTAACTGTTTTTTGGGTGAACTAACCTTGTAAGGGGTTTCCTGCTGCTGGCATGCAATGAAAATAATATTTCTCTAGCTTTTCCTGTGTTCACTGTTTTTAAGATCCGAGGGTTCAGATCTCTCACAACTTCTCCACACGCTCTACTTTTGATTTTGCTGTTGCTTCTCGTTTCATTTCTGTCTTTCTCTCGCCGCACTAACTCTTGTTGAAGCAAGGCTGCTGTTATCTTAGCCCAATAGAGCACAATGATGATTGGTCACTTTTTCAGTGACCATTTATTTTCTTCATCTTCAGTCAAGAGAAATAAAGTATTGAGCCAAATCAAATTATGTGATCAACAACCATTGATGTGAATTAAAAAGCAATGACAAGGTATGAAATTGCTAAATAGAGGCCGTCACTGATTTATAATTATAAAGAATACATATACAGAAATATATTCCAACAACCTTGGGTCCATGGTAGGTTTGTCTTGAAAGATTTATACATTATTAAAGTCATTATGGATTTTGTTTAAACCATACTGTTGAAGTCCCTGCGGTTACTATTTGGGTTGGTATTGTACTGTGGTGTGTTATGATCGTGATCTTATTTGATTTTTTTTTTTCACAGCAAAAGTGACATCAGGTTAAAATTACACATTCATTTTAAAAGTTAGGTTGTGGGATTGGTATCTTTGAGATAAAAACTGATCATTCAAATGTGTCATTTCTTTCAGAAATACGTTTGTAAATGTTTTTACTGAAATTCTCATCACATTCTATTTTCCTTCCCCTCTCTTTCTCAACTTTCCTCTCTTCTGTCACGCTCAGCAGTATCTCTCATAAAATAAGTAGCACAGTTGGTAGCATGTGGGACTCGCTCAAGAGCATTTTCTCTAGGTAACATCCATTTGTCCAGTTCTTGACTGTAAAAAATCTTAGATTTAATTCATAGTGTCTTTCACTTCATGAAACATATTGTTTGATTACCATTTTATTTGTTGTTGTTTTTTTTTTTTTAGGGATGGGCAACGATTAATCGCGATTAATTGCATCCAAAATAAAAGTTTGTGTTTACATAATATATGTGTGTGTAGTGTGTATAATTATTTTATATATATATAAATACACACAGATGAATGTATATATTTAAGAAATATTTGCATGTATATACTTTATATATATTTATACATAATTAATATATAAATATAAATATTTGATATATTAATTACACATTTTTCTTAAATATATACGTGCATGTGTGGGTATTTATATATACAAATTAATTATGCACACCACACACACATATATTATGTAAACACAAACTTTTATTTTGGATGTGATTAATCGCGATTAATCGTTGCCCATCCCTATTAGGAATGTACCGATATGAAAAGTTTGGCCGATACTGATAACTGATAATTCTCTATATTTGAAAGCCGATAACCGATATATTTTGAGAGCCTGATTACAAAATTGTTCCCCATTTAAAATCAATGTCCCAATCATTGCTTGAAATCGCTTCAAAAAGGACAATACAGTTATAGGCTATATAAACAGTGCGCATCTGTAGTGTTTCAACTGAAGGAAATAATCCAGTATTTATCGGCTTAAATGTATATCGGCCAAATTTTCTTATCGGGCCGATAACAATAACATTATAAATGATCATATATCGACGATACCGATATGGTGGCCGATATGTCATGCATCCCTATAGTTTTTTAATCAACCATAGTGTAAATAACTGTAGTTCTCCAAATGAATCATGCTTTTACATTTTAATCAAATAGTACGCTATTTGCTTTTGATTTAGTGTTAAAAAAGATGTATGTTCTTTCTATATTGAATAAATTGAATAAATTCTATCATAATTGTGCTACCTAAAATAGTGTTATCTTTAGTGTACCAGTCATCAATAATTCCATTGATTTTGGTTTTATGGGCATTCATTTTGTGTGCTGTTCATCTGCAAGCATAAACTGCTGGGTTCAAAATGTACTTTTTATCACACCTGTCAGTTGTTTGTGGATCATGAAAATATATCTTAAACTTTACTTAAACTAAAAAAATGTAATGTCTTTGGTAAATAAATAAAACGCATAAAAATCAAAAGTACATTTTTATTTGCTTCTGACAAATGTCAATCTCAACTCTTTTTAAAAATTTTATATATGTTTCTCACTTATGCCTGGTTCAGATTACACGATTTTAGCCCGATTTTGGCACGATCCGTTTGACGTAGGGTGTCGTGTGGATTCGTAAATGACAACAGGCGTCGGGACGCAAGATTCGATCGTATCACCTCGTATAGTGTGTCATAGTGGGCGACAACCTACGTCCCGTCTGCGATGCTTCACAACATCACGACAAAAAGACTAGCATGTTTAATTTTTTTAACGGTCGTCCACGACGGTTCCGTCACATGTATGAGGTTGACCAATAGGAGCACAGAAGCTTTTCCGTACACAACTTTCAAAAATGGCGAAACGAAAGAGACGATGGTGCTAACGTTAAATCTAAAAGTAAAAATAAGAAAACAATATTTTACCTCAAGTTCTCTTTGGAGGATTGACAGCCCATACTGTCCGTTTCGAACAATCCAGGAACGTGTCCATTGTCGTTTTCTTTCTTTTTTTACTTTTTTCTGAACACAGGACCGCCAATACAACACTCACCACTTCATCCATTGTTTGTTTACGTTTGTTTCCGGAAGTCACGCGCTACTAGTTTCGCCTTCTCAATGACATCACGTGCGCCGTTAAAAACGGCATGAAATGACTGGTCAGGAAGCAACGTGTAGTCTGACATGTGTCCAGTCCACGACACGACAAGATTTTAGGAGTCAAAATCGCGTAATCTGAACGAAGCATTAAAGGAGTAGTTCACTTAAAAAAAAACTTTTGCTGATAATTTACTCACCCCCATGTCATCCAAGATGTCCACGTCTTTCTTTCTTCAGTCGAAAAGAAATAAAGGTTTTTGATAAACATTCCAGAATTTTCTCCATATAATGGACTTCAATGGGAACCAAACGGTTCAAGGTCCAAATTAAAGTTTCAGTGCATCTTCAAAGGGGTTTAAACGACACCAGACGATGAATAAGGGTCTTATCTAGCGAAACGAGCGCTCATTTAATAAATACATTTAAAAGTTTAAGTTTTATAAGCTCAAATGCTCGCCTTGCTCTGTTCTGTGATGAGCATTCGTGACTCTCCTGTTCAAACTTGTTCATCAAAATTAACAAATCTTTTTTCGAGTCATGACTCGAAGGGTCATAGATAAGACCTTATTCATCGTCTGGTGTCGTTTAAAGCTTGAACCGTTTGGTTCCCATTGAAGTCCATTATATGGAGAAAATCCTGGAATGTTTTCATCAAAAACCTTAATTTCTTTTCGACTGAAGAAAGAAAGACGTGGACATCTTGGATGACATGGGGGTGAGTAAATTATCAGCAAAAGTTTTTTTTAAAAGTGAACTACTCCTTTAAACACCACTACATGCATCTCAACAAAAACATTTCCTCCTTTGTTATAATGGATGAAAAAAATGTTTTGTGAAGAAATTAGTTATCAATTTTTCTTCATTAACATTTAAAGATACACTATATAATGTCAAAATATAATCTTTACCGGTAATTAGGCAGTGTAAATTAGCCAACCCTCTGTTTCACTAGCCTCTTTCACACAGTAATCCCAGTAAATTACCACAAAATTACCAGAATGACTTTACTGGTAAATGCACAGATATGCTGGTCACACAAGCAACAGTGTTACTGGCTTTTTACAATTATTAACTCGCACTCACAGATCCCGGAAAATCACTGGCAGTGTGAATGAACCAAAATCAAACAATCCCGAGATGCATTATCCCTGTATTTTTGGGAATCTCTGTCTGAAAGGGGCTACTAACTCCTCCCACCATTGCTCAGATAGTTTATTACAACCATTGTTAAATAGTGTTGTCCGCTACACAATTAGATTTTTCAGATTGAACCAGATTATTATGACATAAATGCTCTGTTTAACATGCATTTAAAGGGTTGGTTCAACCAAAAATGAATTACTCGCCCCCATGTTGTGAGGACTTTTTGATGCTTCAGAAAGTTCATAAAGAGATTGTAAAACTAATCCATATGAATTTTCTGAAGAGCCATATGATAAACAGATTAAATTTAGGCTTTTATTCACACACAAACATTGACCAGTGCACAAACAGAAGCTCAAGCGAACCTGCTTGAGGCAAAATAACAAACCTCTCACTAAAGCTCAAACGTGCTGCGTAACAATTGGCGTGTCTCAAGCTTGTGTGAGCTGTTGAATGTTTATATATAAGGGCGAGTAATTAATGACATTTCCATTTTTGAGTGAACTATCCCTAATAGCAATGGCCAGTCACACAAAAATAGTAAAACAAAATCAACAAATGCTTGTTTTGTTGTAGAATCACTGTATATTTGTGCTTAAAGAAATCAAAATGCAAAGTGATATCATCAAGTACTGCACTGGTCTGATTATCAATGAGTCTTATCGATGCATCTCTTATTCAAGAACGTATTAAAGTTCACCCTCCTTTACAAGATTTATGTTCGTATGGTTGTACTAAGTATTTCTGTTAAGAGAATCTTTGTCTACTTTCCAGTAAAAGTGAGTCGGAAGAAATGACAGGACAGGAGAGTGTGGAGGAGCAATCTGAGGTGTGTGTGTTTAACTGTTTAACATGCAGATTTATTAGACATAGATAATGTAAAGTGTTAATGAGACCTGCATTAAAGGATTAGTTCACTTCAGAATTAAAATTTCCTAATAATTTACTCACCCCCACGTCATCCAAGATGTCCATGTCTTTCTTTCTTCAGTGGAAAAGAAAATAAGGATTTTGAGGAAAACATTCAAGGATTTTTCTCCGTTATAATGGATTTCAATGGGGTCCAACAGGTTGAAGGTCCATATTGCAGTTTCAGTGCAGCTTCAAAGTCTCGACACGATCCCAGACGAGGAATAAGGGGATTATCTAGACAAACCATTGCTCATTTTCTAGAAAAAAAAATCATATTGAAATGCTTCGTTTATCGCAAATGTTTGTCTTGCACTAGCTGTGATGCGCCAGACATTATGTAATCGCGTTGAAAAGATCACGCATGTTCTGGTTTAAAAAAAGTTAGGGCGAAAAACTCTCTCCAACTTCAAAATCAAATTTCAAAATTTGTAAATAACGTTTGACTAGTCTTTGCACGTTCGCTTTCTAAACACTAGGTCGGTTCTTCCGCCTACGTCACGCTTGACCTTTCAACGTGATTGCGTAATGTGTGGCGCATCGCAGAGCTAGTGCAAAACGATCATTTGTGATTTTAAAAAGTATGTACATTATATTTTTTTTAAATAGAATGAGCGACTGTTTGTCTAGATAATACATTATTCCTCGGCTGGGATTGGCTGCCTTGAACCGTTTGGTTCCCATTGAAGTCCATTATATGTGCATCACAGGACAGAGCAAGGCGAGCATTTGAGCTTATAAAACTTAAACTTTTTTATTTATTTATTAAATGAGCGATTGTTTCGCTTGATAAGACCCTTATTCATCGTCTGGAATCGTTTAAAGCCCTTTGAACAGTTTGCACTGAAAGTGTCTTTTGGACCTTGAACCATTTGGTCCCATTGAAGTCCATTATATGGAGAAAAATCCTGGAATGTTTTCATCAAAAACCTTAATTTATTTTCGACTGAAGAAAGAAAGACATGGACATCTTGGATGACATGGGGGCGAGTAAATTATGTGGAAATTTTAACTCTGGAATGAACAAATCCATAGAGACTCCTCGTATTAGTTTTGAAATATAAACCTAGCAGTTTTAATTTGAACTCTTGTTTATTTACTTTATTTCTTTTATTCATTTAGGATGGACCGATCAAAGAAGAAGAGGATAAACCGGGCATGTGGGAGGAAACGTTTAAATCTCATAGTGATTCAAAGCCCAATGGTACTTTGAAATCTGGTTAAATCTTTCCTATTTTATTCTATAACATGATCAGTACATTATCGATAAGATAAACAAAAGATAAATTTGTTTTAAAATTTTTGTTTTATTTTTTTAATCCAGGTCCATCATCTATTAGTTTAGATTTTTCTCTGCCTGGTGTGGAACACGTCTATGGCATTCCCGAACACGCCGACACGCTCAAACTGAAAAACACAGAGTGAGTTCTGATATGCAGGACACACAAGCAGCTTAGCCAGCAAAGGAGGGTTTTTAATGTGAATTTTGTTGCTTGTCCAGGGGGATTATTACTTGTTTTGTGCATAGCCATGCTGTTCACCAGCCAAATCTAGCAAGCTGATGAGGCTGACTGATAAAGTTATGCTGGTTAGGCTTCTAAGTAGGGTTGGGAACCGAGAACCGGTTCTTTTCCAGAACCGGTTGTGTTTTTGAAAAAATACCGGAACCGTGCAAAATTCCTAAGTTTCGGTTCCGAAAACGGTTCTGATGCCGATGCGATATCATCATGTGGGCGAAGTGCTGGGAGTAGAAGACGCCGTCTTATTCCTAAATGACAAAAACTTCACCACTGAAGTTGCGATTTGCTCTCACACGCGCTGCATTTGTCACACACAGACACACGCACGCTGCGCGCGCCGACCGCCGAGTCACTCTCTAGCCTACATTCAAATCTGTTTGCGCTGAGAGAGAGAGAGCAGTTGTCGATATGAAACTGCTTTACAATCACACAGTCTCAATATTTATTTGTTTCACATATTCAAATGATTTCCGTTACAGAATTAGTGAGATTATAGTTTGAGTAAACATTGACGGTAGTGGTCAAAACAGATGCAGTCCGTATATTTTTTGTGTTCAGAATTTACAAAATATATACATTGAGCGAGTACATCATAATGTTTTTTTTTCAAACCGTGTTTTTGTCTTATCTTGAATCACTACGTAAAGCCTGTAATAAGCGTTAATACTCGGACTTCTTGTTTAGACTGGCCGGCGGATCGCAGCTGCTGCGGAGTAGCCCAATGCCTGCGTGACTCGTCATGGACATAAACAGAGAGAAGTAGCTCCGGCAACAATGTTCTTCCGCAAGACGCATGCAGTTCTGTTTATTAACTGCTAGAGCGCCGATTTATCCAGTAATGAAATAAGTAAAGTCTTTATGAATCAATCATTCAAACCGTTTTAAAAAATAATCTGTTCTACACACATATGTGTGTTAAAGCATATACTATTCCTTCTGAGAGGGTATTCTTCACTGTTGGAGATACAATAAAGGAGAGGTCTAAATTATTATAGAGAATGCAGAATTTTTTAATTTCCTTTATATATAATTTTTTTTTTTTTTTGCAAAGATTGCTTAATAATATTTTGAGTTTGTTTACATTACCAGTCTGTTAAACTAATTTGTCATGTACTATAAGAAATAAACACAAAAAGGATTGTGGATTTTTCTCTTACTAATATTTTTAATTGAATGGGAACCGGAACCGGAATCGTTTGGCGGAACCGGAATCGGAACCGGAAAATTTCTCACGATTCCCAACCCTACTTCTAAGGAAACCTGATTACTAGTCTAGTTGATCAAACTTTGAGATTCTGAGTTGGTTTTTGAAACCAGACAAATCCAACCTGGTCATTTAATTCACTTATTTCTCAATTCCCTTCTCTGCTGAAAATAATGGTATTGTCATGAAAAATGTAATCGCTGCGTCCAAACTTGTGCACTGTCTGTGTGAATATGTTTGAATTTGAATTAAAGTTAATGTTTTAGCTTACCTCAAGGGCATCCAAGATGTAGGTGTCTTTGTTTCCACAGTAGTTTCAATTTTGATATTTTTAGGTCAAACCGTTTTGTCTGTCAGTCATACAATGGAGGTCTATGGTCACCACCGCAAAGAGCATGCACAGAGAAGTCCAAATTAAACATAATTTAATGACTCATAAATGTAAGTACACATTGATGGCCTAAGACACGAAACGAGCGGTTTGTGTGAGAAAATTAACAGTATTTATATCGTTTTTACCTCGTGTAACCACAGCCACGTCCTAGTTATCTGAGGCCACGGGCGCTTCGGTCTGCGCAAGCACCCGAAGTGATCTCTCGCCCGTGTACGTCACTCATTGTTTACAGAGAGATTTCAGAAGTGCTTCACTGTGACGATCTAAACCTATTTAGATAAATATACAGGAAATCACAATTGAAGACGAATTCGATATATCAACAGACAACTTTGATCTCTTGTGTGGTTTTGAAAAAAAAAAAATCACTTCCTGTGCTTGCACAGACCATAGCTGTCAACATTGAACATTGAAAATAAGGGAGTTTTCCCGGAATCCATCCCCAAAATAAGGGATTTTTTTTTTTTGCACGATTCTCACCCACAAACTTTAAAAATAAAGCACAATCCTTAAAAGTCTAAGGTGTTCATAACTAGCCTATGTGTGAGAGAGAAAGAGACAGTGTCATTTAAAGGGAAAAAAATCTACATTTGGATTAGCGTGTGTTGCTCTAGCATTTGGACAACAATTTCAACATTTAGCCTATCACACATCTTCCAAAATCCGCAAAATAGGGAAGTGGGCTGTCTGTTTATTTTAATTACATTTACACATTTTGTGTAGCTTTAAAGAGCCTATTTAGCCTGATGGTGGACCATCATTCAGAAGACACACTATCCTATCTTTATATCCTCCTATAGGCCCAGAACGTTTTTTTTTTCAAGTTTTTTTTTCTTCTTCATGTAATAACATTGTTAAGAGCTTAAGAAACAAATGGAAAAAAAGAAAACATATTTTATTCATAGATTAAAATGAATAGATTTTATTTATTATATAGACTTTCAAACATCAAAATGTAATGTGTTTATATGTATTCGAGTACAAAATTACATTCAGCTAGCCTAAACATGGTTTCCTATTTTTTTATTTATTTTTTTGCCTGGAAACGCAAAGAAATTCCAGGCAAAGAAACACGCTTGCCTGTCGCGTGAAAAATAGGCGTCAGTTCTATTTCTAACATGCACGCCTTTGGAGACGCGTGTCACACAGGCAGCGTGCAATAAAAACGGACACGCCACGCAGCCAGTGTGTCTCCGGCCAGCGCGCGCGGCACCGCATCCGAGGATAAACGACTTCAAGCCGAATCTGTCCGAGCCCGTACGTCTCACAATCAGAGAGTAAAAATACGGTATATTTTACGGGAAAATACTCAAACGGGAAGACAGCGGGAAAAGAGCTAAAATACGTGAGAAACCCGGAAAAAACGGGAGGGTTGACAGCTATGGCACAGACCGGAGCGCCCGTGCCTTCAGATCACTTGGACGTGGCTGTGGTTACAAGAGGTAAAAACGATATAAATACTGTTCGTTTTCTCACACAAACCGCTCGTTTCGTGTCTTAGGCCATCAATGTGTACTTACATTTACGAGTCATTAAATCATGTTTAATCTGGACTTCTCTGTGCATGCTCTTTGAGGTGGTGACCATAGACCTCCATTATATGAAAATATCAAAAATATAAAAATTGACCTAAAAATATCAAAATTGAAAATACTGCTGAAACAAAGACACCTACATCTTGGATGCCCTTGAGGTAAGATAAAACATACCAAAAATTAATTTCATAGTGATCTATCCCTTTAACTTTGCGGCCGTTTAAGCAGTTTGCGCTATATAGTATGAAAGAAATTCGGAAGTATTACATCCACCATGTTACTGTCATGTGACCTACCAGCGTCAGTTATGTATATTCATCAAATCCTCTCCCGTGACCTCATGGGATAGTAAAGTGTCTATCGAATCCGCACTTCAGAATATCAGAATATAGTTTACTGCTTTTCGAATACTATATACGGATGCAGAACTAGTTTCCAAGGCAGGACGAAACACTGCTGACGCCATGAAAGTTTAAGAAGGTAGCTGAAAGAAAATATCTGACTATATTAATGCAAGTGAATCAACTGAATTTATTCATTTGTATAGATTCTCAAATAGTTTAAACGCAATTTTAAGTCTCAAATGAACGATTAACTCGCCTTTGATCACAAAAATTTGACTTTTGCTTTGTGGTTTGGTTTGTCTAAGCATATTAAACGCATAAAACCTTGATTTTCACCACAGGGGGCTTTAAAAGGTCTAAATATATTAATTTAAGAGTAATATTGTCAAACTATAATTGCTTGTGCAAAGCGTTACCGATATAATTTATATAATTCACATACAACTATATAATAAGCAGCGAAATCTGGATAATCTATGCTTGCTTTTGAAAACTAAATGTTCTCTAACTAACTTGAATGTCTAATTGGTCCAGTTTTGGCTTACCCAGAATAAAACCTGCTCTGGAGTCAGTTAGCGTTGTAGTGTAAGATACCACAGTGATTATTAACACCACTATAAACCAATCCGTGATTTGCTCAAACTAAACTCAAGCTAACATGGGGCCACAGCAAACCAGCATAACATATTCTGACCAACCATACTTCTACTTCATTAAGGAACAAGACAAACTAGCCCGAATATTGAACATTGGTAAATAAAGAACCATTTAAAACATGTATCACCGGTGACAATAATGTTTCATTGGCTCATTGTTGTGGTGTTTTGTTTTTTCTTAGTGGGTCAGACCCGTATCGGCTGTACAACTTGGATGTTTTTCAGTATGAGCTACACAACCCAATGGCCCTTTACGGGGCAGTTCCCGTCCTCATATCTCATAGTACTGAGCGCACCATGGGCATCTTCTGGCTCAATGCAGCAGAGACATGGGTGGACATCAGCTCCAACACTGCAGGAAAGGTGAGCGTGAGAAACTGCTGTTTGCTATAAATAAAGAAGCACAATATATCGGAGAACATTGCACTATTTTCTAATCTTAAAGGAGTAGTTCACAGTAGTGCTGATAATTTAGCTTTTTGATGAAAACATTCCAGCATTTTTCTCCATATAATGCACTTTAATGGGAACCAAACGGTTCAAGGTCCAAAATACACTTTCAGTGCAAACTGCAAACTGTTCAAAGGGCTTTAAACGATTCCAGACGATGAATAAGGGTTTTATCAAGCGAAACGATCGCTCATTTAATAAATAAATAACAAAGTTTAAGTTTTATAAGCTCAAATGTTCGACTTGCTCTGTTCTGTGCACGTTTTTGACTCTCCTGTTCGAACTCGTTCGTCAAAATGAACGAATCTTTTTCCGAGTCATTCGGTTCATTCAACGAACGAAACGAATGAATTGACTTGGAAAAAGATTTGTTCATTTTGATGAGCGAGTTCGAACAGGAGAGTCAAAAACGTGCATCACGGAACAGAGCAAGGCGAGCATTTGAGCTTCTAAAACTTAAACTTTTTTTATTTAAATGAGCGATCGTTTCGCTTGATAAGACCCTTATTCATCGTCTGGAATCGTTTAAAGCCCTTTGAACAGTTTGCAGTTTGCACTGAAAGTGTCTTTTGGACCTTGAACTGTTTGGTTCCCATTGAAGTCCATTATATGGAGAAAATCCTGGCATGTTTTCATCAAAAACCTTAATTTCTTTTTGACTGAAGAAAGAAAGACATGGACATCTTGGATGACATGGGGGTGAGTAAATTATCAGCAAACGTTTTCTTTTAACATACTTTTACTCCTTTAACATTAGTTTGTTCTTAAAAGCAGATTTTCTGTGTCAGTACATTTCATAGTTGTTTTAGCACAATGCCCTTAAATGTGTCCATTTTCAGACGCTGTTTGGAAAAATGCTGGACTTCGTACAAGTTTCTAGTGAAGCTCCTCAGACGGATGTACGCTGGATATCTGAGAGTGGTATCATCGATGTCTTTATCATGTTGGGACCAAAACCTACCGATGTCTTCACTCAGTACGCCTCACTCACAGGTAAAAAAACTCACGTACCAACACACATTTCACTCAGCGCTAAACATGAAAATAACACATTTCATGCTATTTTTGTCGTTTACGCACCCTAATATTTTTCAAAACTATATGAAATTCAAGAAAGAAGAAAGTCTTTAGCTCTCAAATCTCATTCATGCTTTTTCTTAATCATTTAGGAGACTAAAAAATAGGGATTCTCCAAAATGAAAATTCAGTTCACTAAAATTACATATTCAAAACAGAATTTATCATGAATATTGATAAATGTGTATATATTTGTCTTGGATTGTGCTATCATGTATAATTTGATGTACTTTTTTTTATTAACCCCCAAAAAGGGGTAAATGTATTAGTTCTCATTTACTTATTAATGAGAAGTTATTAATAAGATATAATATTGTTTTAGATGAGAAAATGAAGTTGCCTTTTTTATTTATATTAAATTTCACAGGATTTGAATGGATACAGGAATTCCGAAATCATATGCAGATTTTGAATGTGTTATGAGTCGTATAATGTCCTTTTATTCTTTGTTTTTCATTCCTCCTCCTAACGTAACGTTCTCTTCCTTAGGGACTCAGTCATTTCCTCCTCTCTCAGCGCTGGCGTACCATCAGTGCCGCTGGAACTATAATGATCAGGAGGACGTGAAGGCTGTTGATCAGGGCTTCGATGAGCACGACATCCCGTATGACTTTATTTGGCTGGACATTGAGCATGCAGATGGAAAGCGCTACTTCACCTGGGACCCCAGCAAGTTCCCCCAACCTAAAGACATGCTGCAGGGCTTGATGGACAAAAAACGCAAGGTGTGACGCACAATTATGCCCTGTTCAAATAGAAACCGGTCAAGAGTTTGGATTGGAATAAATCAATTTATTGTATTTTTTTGAAAGAAGTATTTTGCTTACCAAGGCTGTTTTTATTTGATCAAAAATAGTTCAAACAGTAGTATTGTGAAATATAAAAATTAGGGCTGTGCACAAATTAATTGCGATTAATCGCATCCAAAATAAAAGTCTGTGTTTACATAATATATTTGTGTGTGCTGTATATAATTATTTTGTATATATAAATACACACACATGCATGTATATATTTAAGAAAATGTGTTATTCATATATAAAATATTTATATTTATATAATATAGATTATGTATTTATAAATATATACAGAATTTAAGCGCAAATAATTCTTAAATATATACATGCATGTGTGTGTATTTATATATACAAAATAATTATATACAGCGCACACAAATATAATATGTAAACACAGACTTTTATTTTGGATGCGATTAATCGCAATTAACTTTTGCACAGCCCTAATAAAAATGTGTTTTATTTATATATATATATCTCACACATCATCAAATCCATATCATCAAAAGGCTCAATATAGTCTTCAATATAGTATTTTATTAAAGTCCTAAACCCTTCTTCACAATACAATCTACAACCACATAAAAAGATAAAAGCAAGACTCGCCCTTTATTTATTTATTTTTAATTATTATTTAAAAGTTGCAAGACATGCATGTAATGCAAAAGCACTTTATTTGATCATTACGTTTACCAAAGTGTACTAAAATCATCCAGATATTTAGGAAAATCATCCTGATTTATCCATTTAATGTTGCTTATGAATTATATTAGCAGCAAAATCATTGTGTATATATTAGGGCTGCACGATATTGGAAATAAGTAACTGACATTGTGATATTTTGTTTCCTGCGATATGAAAACATTTCACCAGATGATTTAAATGGCTCTTTTTGTAAAGAATGAATCATTCTAGATTGATTGGAGGGATTTTGCAGTGCATCTGCGTCAAAAATAATAAACAAATTACAAGCGTAGGTAAATCAAATCGAACAAATGTACAAATGAAATAAGTAGTGTTGGGTTTTTCAGGTAAACCTTACTGTATTCAGGTACAAATCGACACATCGTGATAATATAGTGCATCTCTAGTATCGATACATTATTATTACCCAGCTCAAACTGAAATAGCCGTTTTTAACAAAAGTCATGTGACATTTCGTCTCCTCAGCTGGTGGCCATCGTAGATCCTCACATTAGGGTGGACAGTGGCTACAAGATTCACAATGAGATTCGCTCGAGAAGCTTTTACGTCAAGAACAAAGATGGAGGAGACTATGAAGGCTGGTGCTGGCCAGGTGTGTATCTACTTATCCAGCTGTCTATTAAAATCAAGCTCTTCAGAGTGCTGAAACACACTTTTTTTCTCTCTGCTGAAGGGAATTCTGGGTATCCTGACTTCACTAACCCTGAGATGAGAGCCTGGTGGGCCAGCATGTTTGCCTATGACCAATATGAGGTAAGGGGTTTCTGAACTGAGTGTTTAAGTTCTCTTTTATTGTTGTTTATACATCTATGTGGTGTATTTAATTTGCTTTAAGACAAACCATGTGTAAATTCATAAGTCGACAGCATTGCTGAGTATTTTCTCCATAAAACTGCATTTAAAAGCACCGTTTGAAATCGCTGGTGTTTCTGACGTCACAAACGACCTTGTAACCAATCAGGTCAACAAATGGATCTCTGAGTTGGTGGGTGTGAGTGGAGGCGGTGCTCATTTGCATATTCATAGAACCCCATATACTAAATGAGGCAAGAATGTAGTTACATTCAAGCTATTTTAAGGCATAAAGGTTTTTTTTTCCAAGGAATTAAACATTTATTTATGCCATTTTGGTGATCAGAGATGAGTTTAAAGGTATAAAATTGTCTACAGGGGGACTTTAAAATGTTTAGATTGATAACTAAAAGGTCATTTTAGTATTGTAAGTTTGTTCAATCCCGGTTGCCTTTGTCCAGGGATCCATGGAGAACCAGTACATCTGGAATGACATGAACGAGCCGTCTGTGTTTAATGGGCCTGAGGTGACCATGCACAAAGATGCTCTTCATGGTGTCTGGGAGCACAGAGATGTTCACAACCTTTATGGCCTCTATGTGGTGAGAGAGCAGTGTTTTTAATGTACTTCCATTTTTCTATAGGCACATAAAGGCCCTGATATAATCACTGTAAACTTCTCTTTTATCCTTTGTTTAGGGTTATAACAAAAGCACATAGTAAGAATAACAGTGGTGAGAAACATAGTTCAGAAAGCATCTGATCATAGTGATGTGGATGTTTGCATCAGCTCTCCAGTCATGTCACATAATGTTGCACAATAGATTTGCTTCAAGTCAAGCAGCTTTACAGTATCAAACATGTCTGTGTCCGTATCGCTTTCAATTAAAATGACTTCAGTTTCTATTATAAAGCCACTTTCCAGTGTGTTCATGTTTTAACTCGACTGACTGAACAGAAGAAATTAACCAATGAAGGTTTACACATCAAAGAAGGCGGAGCCTCAGAGCCACACCCACCTATTACACCATCACCACTAAGTCCAATCGGTTCTTTTGCTGAAAGTTCATTGGCAAGCTGTCTTAAACTCCTGAAACAAACTTCATTTCGGATTGATTTTGTTTGAAATGATGTCACGGTTCGTTCTTTTATTTTATATCGGGCCTTTAGGTGGTAAAAACGAAACATTTACAACATTGTTTTCTGGGTGAGTTTCACATAAACCTGTCCAGACCCCATTTAAACCCAGAATTTAAATAAATTAATTAATTCTCTTTTTGCTAGTTGGGGATTTTCATTAGATTAGAGTAGAGCCAGACCGATATATCGGCAGGCCGATATTAGGCATTTTCCAAATTATCGGTATCGGCAGTTATAATGGCCGATAAATGAATATTTTGTATCATATTTTGATAATGAATATTTAAAAAAAAATTGTGACTATCATGTGCAGTTTTGCTGCTGTTAAATAAGCCGAGAATGAAGCGGAATTAGCTAGTAATAGTTACGTTATGTTGTTACAGTGTAGTCCTTTTAACTTTAGACAATGTGACTGAAGTATTTCTTTAATAGCGCGTGACAGTTATAACAATGAGACGCATCATCTCTCCTTGGCCTGTTGTATTGAAAATGTAGGTTTTACAATTTGTTGCGCGTATCTGAAATAATAATTAAGAAAAAATATCAGATTTTAAAACCAATAAATATTTGTATCGGACTTCAAAATCCTTTATCGGTCAGGCTCTAGATTAGACCCACCTTAAAAAAAAAAAGTACAGATTAAGGCACTGATTGGATGAGAATATCATAATATGAAATACTGTTTGATTTGAAAAAGCCAACAAATCTGCAAAGATGTGTAGAACAGGCATAAGATCAACACTTCAAAAATATAGAAATAATTGGTGTCCTGAAAAAACATGTGAATAAAACGTTAAAAGGAGACAACCGATGATGACATTCTACAAGTCGGAGCTCTCTGAAAATTCCCAGTTTACAAGTTGTAATTAACAGTTTTAGGAGGACATGAACGCACCTACAATAGTGAAATGCATGTGTGATATAGACCATTTCACAAGATGTAAACAACACTGGTCCAGAAACACTTCCTGTTTCAGTTTGTAACTGTTTTCTTTATTTCACATGTAAAGAAAACATCTTAAAGATATTTGTTTAACTTTTTGATTCAGTTTTATAGGTTCTGTTGGTTGTATTTTATCCCAGCTTTTATGTAGTGTTAAAAAACTGAAACAGGAAGTGCTTCTGGACCAGTGTTGTTTACATCTTGTGAAATGGTCTAAATTTAGAGCCAAAAAAGACAGTTGTTGTGAAAAATGGTGCTTTCTTTCTCTCTTAACAATACTTGTGTGTTCCCAGCAAAAGGCGACTGCAGACGGCCTGATTCAGCGCTCGGGAGGAGTGGAGAGGCCGTTCGTTCTGACCCGAGCATTTTTTGCCGGATCTCAGCGTTACGGTGAGAAACGGCTTCACTTCGGACACGATCCTCACGTGTTCGTAACAGTGTTTGGTGATGACTTCCTCTTCCTCTGTGGCTCAGGTGCGGTGTGGACAGGAGATAACGCAGCTGAATGGGGTCATCTGAAGATCTCCATCCCGATGTGCTTGAGCCTGGGCTTAGTGGGCATCTCTTTCTGTGGAGGTGAGCCGTTACTCTAGTGATGAGAGGTGCTGACCTTCACCTACGCTGATGCAAATGAGAAATTACGTACATTGCTTGCAATGGGTAAACAAAACTGCACTATATTTAGGTAACGGCCGCCAAAGGTGAACTCTGCCACCGGTTTACTTGAAGGGGTGTGCATAAGACTGTCATGACACCTTCATAAACATGACATGACATATGTTTTGAATATGTAGCAAGTTTTATGCATGTTTATGACAACTGTCATTAAGTGTCTTTCGCTTAATAATGACATTTTTGAATGCAAATATGACATTGACAGGTTATGATGTATTGGTTTATGTCATAAACAGTGTCTTTGTCCTGACAACTTGAGGCTTAACATTGGCTGTCATGAGGCCATTATAACTGTGTCATGAATATTTTTCGTGACCTCAACTGCAGTGGTACTAATTGAATTTGTCATTAAAAAGTGCTAATTTTAATGACTAAAAAAGTGCTAATTTTAATTCATTAAAAAATATTTTTAATGAATTTGTCATTAAAAATAATGGCTTCATGACAGCCAATGTCAAAACCAACCACCTGACAGTTTAATGTAATGTTAACCAATAAAGCTAGGTGGTTTCTTAAGTTTGATTATTAGTCATGTTTATGACAGGTTGTGTTGTCTTAGTAATGTCAAGTTGTCATGCCAAAGACACTGACAGGTTATGATGTTATGGTTTGTCATAAACAATGTCATATTTGCATTTAAAATGTCATTATTGAGCGAAAGACATTTAATGACGGTTGTAGCAAACATGCATAAAACCTCCTACATATTTATAACATATGTCATGATTATGTAGGTGTCATGTTGGTCTTATGCACACCCCTTCAAGTAAAGTGTTACCCATAATTTTCCAGCTATACATGTTTTCACGGTTGGGGGGCGCTATTACGCATCTTCTGAAAGAGTACAGAGTGTCTGGATCCAAAAAAACAAGTGAAGATGAAGCAGAAATATTCATACAACAAAATATTCTGGGGAGCATGAAAATGTTATGAACGAAAATGCTGGCAAGTAAAAAAGTGGGGACATTAGTTGAATACTTGACGTAAAAAAAAGCTCAGAATGATATTTCTTAAATAAAAAGCAGTACAAATGCAAATGCATTTTTTTTAATTAGAAAGGAATACAGGTTTTAAAATAATGTAAATGATTTTGCCTGTTTTTTTAAGGTTTCTTTGACGAATAGAACAGTTTTTGAATCGCGTTTATTTGAAATAAAACTATCATTTTTAATTAGTATTCATTTATTTTTTTTCTAAAGCCCAAACTATTGAGTGGTACTGAATCCCCTTTTATATAAAAATATGAAGCAGCACACCTGTTTTCAACATTGATTATAATCCGAAATGTTTAAGCATCAAATCATTATATTAGAATGATTTCTGAATGATCATGTGACACTGAAGACTGGAAGAATGATGCAGAAAATTCAGCTTTACATCACAGGATTTAATATATTCAAATATAAAAAAACATCTTTTTTAATATTTAACTATATTACTGTGTTTTTGATCAAATAAATGCAGCTTTAGTGAGCAGAAGAGACTATTTTAAAGTCATTAAAAAATGTAACTATTCTAAACTTTTGCTAGTGTGCATCACATTTGTATTACATTAATAAAGCAGCACTTTAAGGTTTCCGGCAGAAAATAATTGCAAATCATCAAAGTGGAGGACGTTTTTTTTTTTCTTTTTGTCTCACATGCTGTCTTTGTCTTTCTGTTCCTCAGCCGACGTTGGCGGTTTCTTTAAACATCCCAGCACTGAGCTTTTGGTGCGATGGTATCAGGCAGGAGCTTACCAGCCGTTTTTCCGTGCTCATGCCCACATAGACACGCCCCGCAGAGAACCCTGGCTGTTCGGCCCGGAGAATACTGCCCTCATCCGAGAGGCGGTGCGCCAGCGATACGCTCTCCTGCCCTACTGGTACCAGCTCTTCTACAACGCTCACCACACCGGACAGCCTGTTATGAGGTGAGTCAACTCAGCAGGCAAAAAAGCCAAAAAAGTTCGAGAACCCCTGGGTTAAAGGAATCGTTCTCCCAAAAATGAAAATCATCCCATAATTTACTCGCCCTCAAGCCATCCTAGGTGAATATGACTTTCTTTCAGCCGAACACATCATCCATCATAAATGTAATCCAAATGGGGGTTAATAAAGGCCTTCTGAAGTGCAACGATGCACTTTTGTAAGAAATATATCCACATTTAACCCTCTGATGGTCTTCGTTTAGGAGTCAGGTCCTGAGCCTTCCCGGTCAGAAGTGACCGGACACCTAAAAATGAAACTTCCTCCAACCCAGTAAAAACCAATGCAATTTATTTTTGTTCTATAATATTTATTCTTCTTAATTTAGTATTTTGAGACAATTTGATTGAATTTATTAATATTTATGCAATATTTATTGCTTATTTTTGCCATGGGGGAAAAAAAAAATATTAGGGCTGTCAAACGATTAATCGCATCCAAGATAAAAGTTTGTGTTTACATAATATATGTGGGTGCACTGTATGTAATTATTTTATATATATATATATATATATAAATAATACACACACATGCTTGTATATATGTAAGAAATATTTTCATATATATACTGTATATAGATTTCTATATAATTTATATTATATATAAATATTTTATATATAAATAATATTTTTTCTTAAATATACATGCATAAGTGTGTTTATATATATATATATATATATATATATATACAAAATAATTATACACAGTGCACCCACATATATTATGTAAACACAAACTTTTATTTTGGATGCCCTAAAAAATTTCTATTTTTTTTTTTCTTTTTTTTTTTTTTCTAGAAATAGTGATAAAAGTGTTTCCCATTCATTTCCTATGGGGGTCATTTTTGACTGAAGACCACAAGTGTATTTTTTTTTTTTTTTTTTTTTTTTTTTACGACCACTTGGCTTGCTTGGTTCATGACCTCAATTTTTTTTTGTATTCACATACCAAATTCCAGAAAAATCACCAGGTATCATAACCAAAAATAACAAAAAAGATTTATTTTTTATTTTTTTTATTTTATTCAAAACAGAAAATTATTCGGTCAGAAGTGACGAGGACCATCAGAGGGTTAAAATGTAAACTAAAACCATTAGCTTTTGGCATTATAAGTGCAATGGCCAATCAGAGGGGCTTAGATTAGTAAACACTGAAAACACCAAATGTATTATTAGGTTTTAAAAACAAACTGCAATTTGCAAACAATGTTATTGAAGGGATCATAACATTAAATTGACTCAATGTTTTCATAGACCTTTATGGGTAGAGTATCCTGACGACGTAGCCACTTTCTCAATTGAGGATGAGTACTTGATTGGTAAGTTTTTAAACATGAATTATGATTATCCCAAAAAACTGTTGTGGCAGAGAAGGCTAACACAGATTTATTTCTTCTCATAGGGAAGGATTTACTGGTACACCCCGTTACGGATGAGGGCGCTAGTGGTGTTACTGCCTTTCTGCCCGGGAAAGGCGAGGTAATGCATTCCTCAACAATGAATGGCACGCCCTGAATGGATTTTTATTTCATCTAAGGGTGTGTTGACACTTGGCATGTTTGGTTGGATTAAAGGGATGGTTCACCCCAAAATGAAAATTCTGTCAGTGATTACTCTCCCTCATGTTGTTCAAACCCCGTAAAACTTTCTTTCATCTTCATTTGATTAAATCTGAGAGGATGGATCACTCCTCCATAGGCTTCTAAGGGATTGAAACTTGTCGGCCCAGAAAAGTTATTAAAGACTTCGTTAAAATAGTCCGAGTGACTACAGTGGCTCAGTCTTGAGTTTATCAAGCGACGAGAATACTTTTCGTGCGCAAGAAACAAACAAAAATAACAACTTTTAACAGGAACATCCAAGGCACTCTCTTTAGAAAAGTTAAAAAGCCTTTATTTCTATGACTTGGTCATAATCAACACTATTTAAAACACTCATACAAACAGGAAGAGCCTTAAAAGGTCTCAAACCACCAATCAGAAACCTCAATTTGGCAAATGACAACAGTAGGTTCAGAATTGTAAGATAATAACAAAGGCCACTAGATGGCCTCCTTGCCGCTTAGTACAATATTTGTGAAAAACACATAAAATTTACAAGAAATGCATATATCACTACAAAAGAACCAGAAAATAATCAAATAGAGAAATACCACCAACGTATAGAGAAAAACACTCAGATCGAGTTCTTCGTTCAGGCCTGAATATTTATAAAAATAACAACTTTATTCAACTATTCCTTTCCTTCGAAAGTCTCGAGTGAGTTCACGTAGTGTAACAGGGTTGTACGTCACACGCAGGCTCACTATTGGCCGATGCTGGTCATGTGTGTGATGCGTGTGACGTACAACCAAGAAGCTTTGCGCTTCAAGGAAATGGCCGATTCACAACCTAACACTTCCTCTCGGTTTCTCTTGTAGGTCTGGTACGATGTTCACACTTTCCAGAAGCATGATGGGGATCAGAGCCTCTACATTCCTGTCACTATGAGCTCAGTAAGCCCTGACCTTTTCTGTTATTGACTCTTTCATTTGTTTGTAAAGATTGCATAAATTAGCAGCAAAAAGTTTTTTTTGTTTTGTTTTTTTTACAATGTTGAAGGTTGGTTCAAATCAGGGTTATTATAGTTAACTGAAGCCATTAAAAACATTTTTGTTGCTTTAAATAAAATAAAAATCAACTAAAATAAAGTTAGAATTTAATTTTCCTTGAATTCAACTTGATGCACTAAAATAATACACTAAAATAAATATTAATAAAAGCTATTGACTTTTTTTAACTACATATAAATGACAACAACTTGTATAACTATAGTAGTATAGTTATACAACAACAACTTGTATAACTATAGTAGTTTTCCAGGGTTATTATAGTTAACTGAAGCCATTAAAAACATTTTTGTTGCTTTAAATAAAATAAAAATCAACTAAAATACAGTTAGAATTTAATTTTCCTTGAATTCAACTTGATGCACTAAAATAATACTCTAAAATAAATATTAATAAAAGCTAAATTGACTTTTTTTAACTACAGAAAAATGACAACAACTTGTATAACTATAGTAGTATCTGTATAATACTAAATACACACTGGTTCAGATTATTTTTAGGCATTTCCATGACGGGTCAAATGGATTTTTATATTCCAAACAGTTTTCCTATAGATTTATTTCAGGAATAGTTTCTATAATTGTTTCCTGCAACTATACTTTGCACTTCAGTCTTTATCAAACAACTAAATCCTACCTTTCTATCCGTTTCGTCTCGTGTTCCAGATCCCAGTTTTCCAGCGAGGAGGGTCCATTATCTGCAGGAAAGACCGTGTTAGGAGGTCTTCCTCCTGTATGGAGAATGATCCATACACTCTCTATGTTGCTCTCAGTTCTCAGGTAATTCATCGTATCCTGGTCTGTATGTGAAGAAGCAGTGAAATCCAAACAGAATGTGGCTCTATACATGGATATTGTTTTTATCTGTTAACATGTTTACAGCTGGTATTAACATGCGTGTTGGTCGATCGGATCACATGTAGACAGGGGAGACACATTTCCTTTTACACCTGGTGTTTTAATCCGTCTCTTGTCCACTTTCAACCACTTCTGTCCTGGGGCCTCATTTATAACCGTTGCGTACGCACAAAACAGACCCTGAAAAGGCGTACGCCACTTCCGACCAATAAGTTGTGATTTATAACAACAAACTTGACGGGAAAATTTGCGCACCTGCACGCAAACTCTGACCCATGTGTACGAACGTTTTGGAGATGGAGCAGTTTGGTGAGCTCGAGTTAAATGTCTTTTTGGTCACTTTTAGACAGAAAAGCGAAGGAAATTATTCATATACAGAAAGATAATACAAATATAATTTCACTCAGCAAAGCTATCACTTGAAGCAAATATCCATCCCTTCTTAAATATCCACGCCAGCGAGCGCGTTGTGCCGTTTAGTGAAATTGACGCACATAGCCTGGCTAAAATCTAACGGCAGATGAAGTAAAACCGTAAATCTTCATTACGAGTCCATCATAAATACAGCGCATGTTCACAATAACAGTTTAAATACATAAATGAATATAAACATTTAGATTAAATATGCCAGCATTCTCATTACTGGAGTTAAACACTTAAACTACATGAAATCATTACTGAGAAGTTGCAACATTTTTATATTCAATAAATATCAATATTTGTTGTGGATGTGATGCTTTTGAACACTTTTCCTCTGGCATGCTGTGTGTGTTTTAATGTGTTCACTACCTATAATTGCTTATTATGATAGCAGATTGTCTGAGAAAATGTTTTCGTGCAAATAATGCACAACAAGGTCTACCTGTTTCCATTAAAAATATAAATCAATTAAAATACTATTTGGCCAGATTGAGAAACTTTCTCTGAAATGTATTTTGCACTATTTTGTTTAATTTTATTTAAAAAAACAAGGGAAGGATGGGCTACTAAATGTTTTTATTAATGTAATGTGACGGCACATTCGTATTTCATATTTTCCTAACGTCTTGTACCTTTAAACATATCATGTGGATGAATAATCATATGCAAATGATATGCAGATGAGGATATAATCTCCATATATGGTTATTTCGGGGTGGAGACGCATGTGTGCGCATTCTTCCGCTGACTGGGATTTATAAAGTGAATTCTGCGCAGGTTCTGGCGTACGAACGGTTTTATAAGTCTGAATATTTTTTTGCGTACGACATTTTTGGCTTTCGGGCGTACGTACACTTTTAGTGAGGATTCTACGCACAGTTTTATATCTTTTGGTCTAATGGACAAAATAAGGTCTCACAATGTACATATGAACATACGGAGAGCTTCAGCTGCTCTGACAGACGCAAGAACACTGAGTGTGTGTTAGAAATCAGGAATGATGAGAGAACATTGTGATTGGTACGTTTTTCCTCTTCAAACCAAACTTAGGTCTTTAGATGACAAAGTTTAAATCCCGTCAATGTTCACACATTAGTGGCTGTTTGAACACATGCGATCACATGAGCGTTTACACTACGACAGCAATCCGGTCGAGTGTGTTTTCCACTACCTCTGGAAGTGTTCAGAAGCGTTTTAGACGCCGTTTACACCTGTATTTAGTGTCGTACACTTGTGATCCGATCCACCAAAACACATTTTAATAGCAGCTGTACACAGGCCATCAGTGCTGCATGTTCACGGCTGTCTTCTGCTTCAGGGATCTGCTGAAGGAGAGCTGTACATCGATGACTTCCATACCTTCAACTTTGAAACGTCAAAGCAGTTTGTCCACAGACGTCTGTCTTTCTCTGCCAACATGTTGTCCTCCAGGTTAGTCTGCTGTTTTCTTTAAGGCTGTGATGCCAAACCAACATTAAAGAGCTGGTGGTGAAAGCCCACTGTGTTATTGGCTGTGTGTGTGTCTGGGTCAAAAAAAAAATGCTTTTATGGTTTCAATGCTCTATATTCGTCATTTAAAATGGGAAACCCAAACTAGGACTGTGGCTGTACAACAAGAAAAAAAGCAGTTATATAGAGAGCCTAAGTCCCTCCCCTTCCGGTCGACCGGGACCTTATTTCGGAAAAATATTGAATGGTACAATGGCGAGAGACTACAAATATTTTGATCTGGTTTGAATTGTGCCCTGAATTGCACATATGATGTTTGTCCATTTAAAAGAGACATTTTAAAGTCAAGAAAGTCGCAGTTTGATGTAAAACCGTTGTGAAAATACGTAATTACAAAGACTACAAACCCCAAAGGCGCACATATTCTCTCAATGAATGAAGCTAACTTTACTGAGGCTAACGTCTGTCGTTGTTTCTATAGTCTTACGTTATAATCGTAACGTTACGCCGTCATACCTGAGTGTTTTGTACCAGACTGCACACACACAGACTGATCTCACTCGTTGTTTCGCTTCCCGGGAGATGTAGTTCATAGAGCGATTTCCACATAAAACTAAATGTTACTCTTCTGTTTTATGACTTTCAGAATTATCTTTTAAATTGACAAACATCATATATGTGAAATTCAGGGCACAGTTCAGACAGAATAAAAAGATAAGTTGTCCCACGTCATTGACTACCGTACATATTTTTTTCCGATATAAGGTCTCATGAGCCGGAAGCGGAGGGGCGGGACTTAGGCTCTCTATTGGGAATGCATTGACGTCACTTTCCCGCTGGAACAACCCCCCTCTGCCTGACTGAGTGGCAAAAGATCTGCTGCGTGACTGGATTTAATAGGGGGAAACTGCGAAAATGTGACTAAAACAAACAATTTTATCAATTTAAACTAAATGTTGGACTCGATATAGTGTTCCTTACAACTTACTAAAGATCCAGTGATCCATGGATATTGACATGCAGCCAGGAATCGTGTTGCCTGACATTTATGTTTGCCTGATTTCGACTCCGGGGAAATATAAGCAATATAGACCTAAACAGAAAGCAAATTTGCCTGTGAACGCTTTATATAAATACAATATAGGTCGGTCTGAATCCGGGTGATCACTTATATCAGTGTTATATATAGCCTATATCATCATAGCGTCCAGCCCTTAAACTTTATATTTTTATTTTGTCAGTGTTTATTAAAAAAAACATCCAATAATGCAGAATATGCAATGATAAATATTTAATTGATGAGTTGTTAATATATGGGTATGGATTCCAGCTAAATTCAGCATATTGACACAAAATGATAACTTTAAGTTGTTGTCCAGTTGTTTCGATCCATTTGCTCCTCTTTCTATATCAGTCTGTAAAAATATACCTCTGATTTTTTTTGTCAAATCTAGTTGTACAGTCATTCGCAAAGCACTTTCCCACTTTATATGTTTGTTTTTCGTGGCATTCATGCTAAAAACAAATACAGCCGCTCAGTGTTTTTGCCACTCACTGTGAGGAACTGCAGGCCGACAGTGATGTCACGCGCATACCCTCTATAGCTTACCATTTTGAATATGAATCATGTTGATCACGTTCTTCACTCCAGACGGCCATCGTAATGAATATATTCACGTATTGAAATGCTCAGGTAAGATGACCGAACAGCCAGAGTTCTCTCGCTCACCAACGGCGCGAAACAAACCGGTTAAACATGATTAATCGGTCGAAGTATCCACTGTTGGGTCTGACTTGTGCCGACGCCACAGAACACAGAAAAAACTGAGCCGACCGGTGCGTTTCTTGGTGTTTGAGAAATGTATAAACAGAAGCACTGATCTGTGGACAGGAAAGTGCAGTCACGCGTCTCTTGTGTTGTCAGAAATCTGTCCCCGGACTCCCAGTTCTCCACCGGCTCCTGGATAGAAAAGATTGTGATCATCGGAGGCAGTCAGCCGTCCTCTGCTACTCTGAGAAATGCAGGTCAGTGTCACTCTGGCTAGTCTAATATATGAACGTTTTGTTGGTTTTCGTTTGATAAATTACTCATTGCCTTTTGCCATATCCTTTTGTTTTTAATATCAAGTGCCTTACAATCAATAAAATGAGATCTCAAACGATGAATTTAAATGGCATACATCATTTTGTAGAAGTCACTACTAGAGCCAGACCGATATATCGGCAGACCGATATTATCGGCCGATATTAGGCATTTTCCAAACTATGGGTATCGGCAGTTATAATGGCCGATAAATGAATATTTCAAAAATAAAATAAAAACGGACAAAACACGCTTGAACCATGAGTTTTATAGTTTGTCCACCAGAGGGCACTCTACACAAACCCTGTTGGCAACACTCAAAGATCATCCCCATCAGTTCTCTTAACTGAAATAAGCATGACAAAATTTGTGCAATTTGCTGTATGACGTTATCTATTACTAAATTATGGCTCGTCATAGACTAACTATCCACAAAGCTAGCTAATGCAACTCCCATCAGTCTGTTCTGTTGTGACAATAAAAGAAACAAGTTTCTTTTTAAAATGCATTAGCATATTATTTTAGTTGAAATTCATAAATAACTACAAATCACTAATGTTAGGGAAATCTGTTAATGTTGTGTTGCGTGTTTCTGAAAAAAATAAAAATAAATATCGGCCGATATATCGGATTTTAAAACCCCAAAATATTTGTATCGGTATCGGCCCTCAAAATCCTTTATCGGTCGGGCTCTAGTCACTACCGATAAATACCTATAATGATAGGTTAAAGGATAATGGTTCAGTCAACAATAATTAGCTGCTGACAGCATTTAGAAAACAAACATTTAATCAGTCGTACTTCTGTTTAGGCATTTACAAATGGACATGTTGCTGGGTTTGTCCAGCTCATATTGATACAAATAAATCTATTTGTAAGGGCATTTTTGCTCACTTTTGGTGCTGCTGTTCAAAGGAAATTTGGGTCCAGATGTAAAACCAGTTAAGATTTTGGCTACAGACCGTAATTAAGAGGAATTTACAGTTAACTTTCTGTAATTATAGTGTACTTATAAAGTGCTTACACGTAAATATAAGGAAACAATATGTAAAGTTTGGGTAACAACCAGGAGAATAAAAAAAATATTTATACTGTAAGTATTATAGAACTAAGGGGTACTTATTCTACTATTTTGATACAACAATCTTACATTTGGGAGCAATTTAGCGAGAACATACACTGCGTACCTTTTTGTAATAATTGTGTATCAATACATACTGTATAGGCTTTTTCGACAGGGTACATCTATGTGTATATATATATATATATATATATATATATAGTTTTTTTTTTATATATATATATATATATATATAGCAAAAGTGCAGATGTTTAAGTTTGGGCTACCATGTTTCAAGGCAAGAAAAGCTAAGACTATTGCAATTTTTTTAAATACACTGGGAAATATATCTGGTTTCATGTGGTTACAGGGCAAGTGGTGCTTGTATAATAAATAAAGGTTTCCGAGTCAGTGATATAAGATTGTGTGTATGCATTTTTATTGTACTTACCCAGTAACTACAGGGAAAGAGAGGGTAACAAACACCATTTTAATTTACAGCCCACAATTACACTTGCCCTATAACTACTCAAAACAAGAGGGTAACAAAGCACCACTACATAAAACAAGAGTATCTTTCCCCATTATATAGGCAAAAGTTTCAATAGTTTTCGTTTTCAGTGCATTTTTGTTAAAAAGATTACTTTATAAATGCATAGATATGTACCCTGTAATTTTTAAAAAGCCTAAACAGTATGTACTGGTTCACCATTATTTCAAAAAGGTATGTTCTTGCAACCATTTCTGGATCATCTTACCCAGTTCAACGCAGACTCTGATCAGTAATGTCTGCTCTGCCCTCCACTGAATTTTTTTATTGTGCTCCCTTACTGAAACTGTATATGAAGAGGTCAGATGCAAAAGTCTCTAAGTGTCATTTGAAATTTTCTTCTAGAATGATCATTTTTATCAAGCTTGTATATTTAAGTTCAATGATTTCACTTAAATGGCAATGATAATTACCTATTAATTGTTATTTAAGTGAAATTACTGAACTTAAATATACAAGTTTGATAAAAATCATCATTTAAAGAAGACAATTTCAAATGGCATTTAGAGGCTTTTGCATCTGAACTCTTCATATGTCCTGGTTGCTCTTATTTATCAGTTGATCCCTTTTTATTAGTTTTTTTTTTTTTCATTTATTTATTTATTTTCTATTTTAATTTTATATTATTGTTATTAACGGTGGATGATATTAATAATTATTCATTCTGTTGTTTCTGCTGATATAAAGAAGCATTTTTTCTGCAGAAAGTGCTGATAATGATATCATTCATTGAGTTGTATACATCTAAATGTATTTTGTTTTCTTTTGCTTTTTTGTAAAATTTTAAAATCCTAATAAAAATACTTATTAAAAAAAAAAAAAAAAGGTATGTTCTTGCTAAATTGCTCCCAAATGTAAGATTGTTATATCATAATAGTAGAATAAGTACCCCAATACTAACAGTATAAATCAATTTTAATTTCTCCTGGTTGTTATTCCCCAAACTCAAAATATTGTTCCTTTTATATTTGTACTGCAAGTACGTTATAGGTACACTATAATTACAGAAGGTTACGCTGTAAAATCGCTTTAATTATGCAGTACTTTCCGGGCAGTAATCTAAAGCGTTACCAGTTTTTTTTTTTTTTTTTTTTTTTTCTCAGATGGTACCGAGTCGACGTTAGAGTTTGAGTTCGACTCTACACATGCAGTTTTGACTCTACGCAAGCCAGCGGTCAACGCGGCGTCAGATTGGACTGTACTTCTGCGGTAACACAAGGATGACTCGCAAACATCAGAAGAAAGTACGGCACTTAATGTCACATGACCAGACACGAGCATTACAAAATGAGACCAAACAGGGAACGGGATCATGTAGAGGGAAATTAAGAAATCAAATGTTTTTTAGATGATATTTGTATGTGTTGAGATCAATATGAATGCAAACTAATTTAGTTTGTTTGAATGAACAGGACCAGGATATTAAGAGGAGTGTTTGACACTCTTAAACTGTGTGTGATTTCAGGGTGAACTTTTTTTTCTTTTCTGTTTTAGATAATTAGCAATTTATTGTTGGGTTGATTTAAGGAATAACAGAGGAGGTTGATTTACTGTTTGAACAAATTAGTATTTTCTTTTTTCATCTCAGGTCGTGAAGTATTTTGGCATCAAAAAATAAATTTTAACATCCAGAAAAGCTGTTTGCACTAAGATTGTGTTTTCATTTTTAGGTTTTCACTGGGCAGGTTAAATCTGTGCATTAGAGAAAACAATAGCATAAAAAAAATTATGAATAGTAAAAAATAATAATATTTTTTTGAAATGCAAATCCACGAGTCATCTGTACCTAGATCTTGAAGGACATTTTATTAGGCTTTGTGCTGATCGAAAAGGACAAAGTGTATAAATTAGGGAGGAAATATGACATGTTTTTCTGAAACCGACCCTATTGGTTGGACTATTAATAGATAATTTGAAAAAATGAAATGACCAATGAAAACCAACTTTTTAGTTGGTAATATTTCAAACTGTATTAATAGATGTTATGTATATCTTTGTTTCCTAGAGCACAAAAGCCATCAATAACGGTCAATAACAAACTATTTAGTAGCAAAGTTTTGTTAAGACTGAATAATAGTTTGAAACAGGCCCTGTAAGTGACTGAGGCTTTTTTGCTGGTCTCTGAAACGACCTGATTTGTTCAGGTTTGAGCAGGTTTAAGGTTTTTCTTTGTTTTTTTTGTTGAAGGATTGAGACTGGTTTGAATTCAAGAAAAACGATTGAGAAAACGAAGGACAAGGAAATGTGAATAGAAACAGAATAGAATACAGAAAATAAACATCTCTGGGTTAGGAAGCAACCTAGTAAAGAAGTAAAGAAAGTGTTCTTGTACGTCAAAAAAACATCCAGCAAACACCTGATGTACAAACCATATATACAGGACCTTGACCAAATGTTATTTCCTTCAAGAGGCGCATCAGCTTTAGGTCAAGATCTTGTGTTGATAATGAAGAGTCCAGCACATCACAAACACTTTCAATGAGTTTAAGATCTAGACTCAGAGGAGCAGATTCATGTGTTAATGATTCTTAAAGGGTTAGTTCACCCAAAAATGAAAATGATGTCATTAATGACTCTCCCTCATGTCGGTCCAAGCCCGTCAGACCTCCGTTCATCTTCACAACAGTTTAAGATATTTTAGATTTAGTCCGAGAGCTTCATTGTAAATGTATGTACGGTATACTGTCCTTGCCCAGAAAGTTAATAAAGACATCATCAAAGTAGTCCATGTGACATCAGTGGGTTAGTTAAAATGTTTTGAAGCATCGGAAATACATTTTGGTCCAAAAATAACAAAAACTACGACTTTATTCAGCGTTGGGTTGTCTTCCGGTTCTGTTGTGGATCCGCATCGCTGACGTGTGTCTGGTGTGTCCGTGTATTCGGCTTCAAATAAATATGGCTGGGCAAATAAATGCAAATCTTTCTCTGTGTGGAAATCCTTAGACATGTTTGTGAAGATTGTTTTGTACAGCGCGTCTCCCTCAGACTGTAACCGAAGCTCAGCCGCACCAGAACCGGAAGACAACGCAACGCTGAATAAAGTCGTAGTTTTTTGTTATTTTTGGACCAAAATGTATTTTCGATGCTTCAAAACATTGTAACTAACCCACTGATGTCACATGACTACTTTGATGTCTTTATTAACTTTCTGGGCAAGGACAGTATACCGTACATACATTTACAATGAAGCTCTTGGACTAACCCTTTAATGCTCCTCTCAACCATTATTGCACAATCTGAGCCTGATTGATTAATCTTGACATTGTCACCCTGGATTATGACCATGTGTTTCCTAATCACAGCATTAATGAGCCAGTCATTAAGCACTTGCCTTTTTTTTGTTGGGCGGTGAATACACAAATTGAGGTACAAGTCAGATTTATTTTCTGTGCTTAATAAAAGCATTTCATTCAGTGAAACGGGTCAGAGAGTCGCTTTATTCTAATGTAAATTTAATGAGAACATCCTATCCTAACATCGCGTTTTTGTTGATCGATCACCTTGTTGAAATTAAAGGTACATCTTCGTGTCTGACAACAGAGTACAAGCTTAATGACTGCTGGAAATAAGTTGACAATTAAAAGAAAAGCTGAACATTGGTTTACAATATATATATGAAGAGTTCAGATGCAAAAGCCTCTAAATGCCATTTGAAATTTTCTTCTTTAATGATGATTTTTGTCAAACTTGCATATTTAAGTTCAGTAATTTCACTTAAATAACAATTAATAGGTAATTATCATTGCCATTTAAGTGAAATTACTGAACTTAAATATACAAGTTTGATAAAAATCATCATTAAAGAAGAAAATTTCAAATGGCATTTAGAGGCTTTTGCATCTGAACTCTTCATATATATATATATATATATATGCAATGTCCAAAAACCAAGTATAAATTTCATCATGTAAAAATACAAAATAGAATTGTATGGTCTCTTTTATGTTGTTCATTTAATCAAGAAAATCAAATGTAATATTTCCCAGTTACATTTAATTTTCTTGATTAAATGAACAACATAAAAGAGAATTTACATGTGCTATATATAAAAAAAGAGTACTTTGTCTCAACTTTAAAACACCACTAATGAGCAATATCAAAATATTCAAGTCACTGGGAAAAAAACTAAATTAGCACCACTATGATGTCATCAGCTATAAAGGCATTAAACGAGGGCTGAAGTGAAGATGTATTTTTGTATCCGTTTCCGAATCCTAAAACCCAATGGGATTTTTCCACTGGCTTTTGGATTATTGCCGAAAAAAGCTCTGTGACCAACAAAAGTTTATGATATTGCACATTTTGTCCGTTATGATAGATAGTAATTCATCATAACTGATCACAACTAAGCTTAAACACAATCGCCAGAAGTAAATGAAAATGAACCACGGTCACATGACTTTCTGTAGTGGCATTTAGACGCTTGTTAGCCGGGCTTTAATACATCACGAGATGTTATGTTGTAGAATAAATATCCTGGGTTATGTTCACCACAAACCTTAATTCTGGCATTAAACCAAAAACCCATTGACTTCAGAAACTAGTGCTAAAATGCTAACAGGTATCACTCCACCATCTCTGCAGAGCTCAGTGTGAGTCGTCGTCAGTCATGGCTCTCATTAGCATGTCAAAGCTGAGGAAGGTCACGGCATTCACAGGGAACGCTCTGACGCTGTTCAGGAGAAGGCCTCTGAAGAGCACTCGCACGCCCTCTTCACACACACTCACGGTGATGCAGTGCAGAACACCAGCATACACTCGACCACCACCTCCACACATCTGCAGGCGAGCCTTCACCACGTCCATGGGTGTAGCGCAGGCCCATGTGACCACACCAGCAACTCCACCGGCCAATAGCACTGCATCCTTGCCTAAAGCACACATGATGGTAATATTACTCAGCACTTTAATAATTTAGGCAAGTAGTCGTTTCAACCGGGCTTTACAAAACACACAACAGAATAAACTTACAAATATAATATACTAAATGTATATAAATATCAATATCTCATAAAATGTTATATTTTTATATATAAAATATTTTAGTAATTTTTATATTTCATTAACACTTTACAATAAGATTTCATTAGTTAACGGAATAACAATAAAAATAAAACTCAGTTAATGTTTATCTCATCACACTGTAAAAATAATATTGTTGGTTTAAAAATGAAGTAACATGGTTGCCTTAATTTTAAGTTCATTCAAATGGAAAAATTGAGTTAATACAATGAAGGAGATTGATTTAATCATTGCCATGTGATTGGTTGATTGCATTAATGAGAAATTGGGGTGTGTGTGTAATATGCAGCCATAACAATATTAATTGAATGAATGAATATTTATTTCTTAATTAATTCATTAAAGGAGAACTCCGGCACAAAATGAACCTTTGGTCTAATTACACATTGTTACCTAGACAACCGTTATCTGAGATTTGTTTTCATGATTGCCGAATGTAAATAGTTTTATCTCTAAAAACAGTTTAGCCTATAACGCTAGTATATAGGGCATAGAGTAATGACAAATAAAAATAACTTGTTATTACCACTAACAAGGCTCAAAATAGCCCCACACTAAGACGACAGCATAATAAGGGTCCCTACATTCAAACCGAAGCATTGATAACTTTGTCAGTGTCCAAACAGTGTAATAAGAAGATATTTTATACACACAGTCAACTTCGCGAATACAGGAAGAAGCCATCTTTGAAAAATAGTCTCTACCAGTCGATCTACGAAAGCCGATCCAAGTGCGCTGGTGAGATGTGAATAAGGTGATAAGGTGAGCGCGAACAGTAGTCTACATGTACATATTGAAGAGAAGAAAATGGTTCGTGTTTGTGTTTCTTCCAAAAACAACGGACCATATGAGATTCTGCACGGTTCAGCGCACTTAGATCGGCGTTCGTAGATCGACTGGTAGAGACTATTTTTCAAAGATGGCTTCTTCCTGTATTCGCGAAGTTGACTGTGTATAAAATATCTTCTTATTAAACAGTTCTCAATGCCTCGGTTTGAATGTAGGGACCCTTATTATGCTGTCGTGTTACTGTGGGGCTAATAGTGGTAATAACAAGCGATTTTTATTTGTCATTAGTATTACTCTATGCCCAACTAGCGTTATATGCTAAACTGTTTTTATAGATAAAACTATTTACATTCTGCAATCATGAAAACAAATCTCAGATAACGGTTGACTAGGTAACAATGTGTAATTAGACCAAAGGTTCCTTTTGCGCCAGAGTTCTCCTTTAATTCCCAATCACCTGGCTGCTTCCCTTCCTCAGTCATCATCCTGCAGATGAGCTCGTACGGCAGAAAGTAAAGTCCATAACAAGGCACGTCTCGTAGGGCCAGAGCCCACGCTCCTCTGAAAAGCCCTCTCACCCCGTCCTCCCGTAAGATCACAGCTACACAATGCATGGGGCTTCTGTATTTACTCCCACCTGGCCTGCCCACCGTTTGGTTCTGCAGACGCACTTTGACCAGGTCTATCGGAGCTGTAACAAACAACTGTCGGAGGGGAGGATCAAAACAGCGCAAATTAGTGACATGCAATGTGCTCCTTGAGATTGTTTTGGTGTTTTTTTGCAGGCTTGATCCCCCGACGTGCCTGTGCTAGTCCTGAGAAGCATCCAGCAATGAACACCGCTGTGAGCGGCGAGCGCTTGTTTTGGTCAGAGCCGCTGCGGTTGGACCGCGTCAGGTAATCCAGGGTATTACAGTAGGAACCAAAGACCACAGCATTGCTAAGGGCAACAGAGAGGACAGGAAATGACATGCCCTTAAAAAATCCATGGACCTGGAGAATAAAGCAAAAAGAAGATCTGTCATTAAAGTGACCTTTTATAAACGCAAAGATAACTTCTTAATTTTTGCTACCATACACGAGCCCGATAGTTTATCCATTCACCACCATTACCATCTATTCTGCTCACCAAGGCTGCATTTATTTGATCAAAAATACAGTAAGCTGTAATATTATATTATAACTGTCAGCAAACAAGAAAACAGCACAAAGGGAGTTTATTTGCAGGTAAGTGCAGGAAACAAATGATGCAAGCAGGTGAGTGACTGAGTTCATTAATAGCTGCAAACACTTAGCAGTGAATAACAGTTCTTATCGTTAAAGGTGCAAACTGGAGGGCTGGAGACTGAAGATGACTGAAAGAGTGCCAGTCCTTTAGCGTCTCATATTGACGCTAAAGGACTGGCACCCTTTAGCGTCAATATGAGACGCAGATATATATGGGCCAGAAGGCGCCTCCTAGTGTTCTAACCACTGGGAGACGCGGACTGGAGCCGACACTGGAGCAGACTCAGGGACTGGAGCCGACGCTGGAGGGGCTGGAGCCGACACTGGAGCTGACTCTGGGACTGGAGCCGACACTGGAGCTGACTCAAGGACTGGAGCCGACACTGGAGCTGACTCAAGGACTGGAGCCAATACTGGAGCTGACTCAAGGACTGGAGCCAACTCACGGACTGAAGCCGACACTGGAGCAGACTCTGGGACTGGAGCCAACTCACGGACTGAAGCCGACACTGGAGCAGACTCTGGGACTGGAGCCGACGCTGGAGGGGCTGGAGCCGACACTGGAGCTGACTCTGGGACTGGAGCCGACACAGGAGCTGACTCAAGGACTGGAGCCGACACTGGAGCTGACTCAAGGACTGGAGCCGACACTGGAGCTGACTCAAGGACTGGAGCCGACACTGGAGCGGACTCAGGGACTGGAGCCGACACTGGAGCTGACTCGGGGATTGGGGCAGACTCACGGACTGGAGCTGACACTGGAGCAGACTCAAGGACTGGAGCCGACACTGGAGCTGACTCAAGGACTGGAGCCGACACTGGAGCGGACTCAGGGACTGGAGCCGACACTGGAGCTGACTCGAGGACTGGAGCCAATACTGGAGCTGACTCAAGGACTGGAGCCGACACTGGAGCTGACTCGGGGATTGGGGCAGACTCACGGACTGGAGCCGACACTGAAGCAGACTCAGGGACTGGAGCTGACGCTGGAGCGGACTCAGGGACTGGAGTCGACACTGGAGCTGACTCTGGGACTGGAGCTGACGCTGGAGCGGACTCAGGGACTGGAGTCGACACTGGAGCTGACTCGGGGATTGGGGCAGACTCGGGGACTGGAGCCGACACTGGAGCAGACTCAGGGACTGGAGCCGACATTGGAGCTGACTCAGGCACTGGAGCCAACAATAGAGGGGCTGGAGCCGACACTGGAGCGAACTCAGGGACTGGAGCCAACTCACGGACTGAAGCCGACACTGGAGCAGACTCAGGGACTGGAGCCAACAATAGAGGGGCTGGAGCTGACACTGGAGCGGACTCAGGGACTGGAGCGGACTCAGGAACTGAAGCCGACACTGTAGCAGACTAAGGGACTGGAGCCGACACTAGAGCAGACTAAGGGACTGGAGCCGACACTAGAGCAGACTCAGGGACTGGAGCCGACACTAGAGCAGACTAAGGGACTGGAGCCGACACTAGAGCAGACTAAGGGACTGGAGCCGACACTAGAGCAGACTAAGGGACTGGAGCCGACACTAGAGCAGACTAAGGGACTGGAGCCGACACTAGAGCAGACTAAGGGACTGGAGCCGACACTGGAGCAGACTAAGGGACTGGAGCCGACACTAGAGCAGACTAAGGGACTGGAGCCGACACTAGAGCAGACTAAGGGACTGGAGCCGACACTAGAGCAGACTAAGGGACTGGAGCCGACACTGGAGCAGACTAAGGGACTGGAGCCGACACTAGAGCAGACTAAGGGACTGGAGCCGACACTGGAGCAGACTCAGGGACTGGAGCCGACACTAGAGCAGACTAAGGGACTGGAGCCGACACTAGAGCAGACTAAGGCACTGGAGCCGACACTGGAGCAGACTCAGGGACTGGAGCCGACACTAGAGCAGACTCAGGGACTGGAGCCGACACTAGAGCAGACTAAGGGACTGGAGCCGACACTAGAGCAGACTAAGGGACTGGAGCCGACACTAGAGCAGACTAAGGGACTGGAGCCGACACTGGAGCAGACTAAGGGACTGGAGCCGACACTAGAGCAGACTAAGGGACTGGAGCCGACACTGGAGCAGACTCAGGGACTGGAGCCGACACTAGAGCAGACTAAGGGACTGGAGCCGACACTAGAGCAGACTAAGGGACTGGAGCCGACACTGGAGCAGACTCAGGGACTGGAGCCGACACTAGAGCAGACTCAGGGACTGGAGCCGACACTAGAGCAGACTAAGGGACTGGAGCCGACACTAGAGCAGACTAAGGGACTGGAGCCGACACTAGAGCAGACTAAAGGGACTGGAGCCGACACTACAGCAGACTAAGGGACTGGAGCCGACACTGGAGCAGACTAAGGGACTGGAGCCGACACTAGAGCAGACTAAGGGACTGGAGCCGACACTGGAGCAGACTCAGGGACTGGAGCCGACACTAGAGCAGACTAAGGGACTGGAGCCGACACTAGAGCAGACTAAGGCACTGGAGCCGACACTGGAGCAGACTCAGGGACTGGAGCCGACACTAGAGCAGACTCAGGGACTGGAGCCGACACTAGAGCAGACTAAGGGACTGGAGCCGACACTAGAGCAGACTAAGGGACTGGAGCCGACACTAGAGCAGACTAAGGGACTGGAGCCGACACTGGAGCAGACTAAGGGACTGGAGCCGACACTAGAGCAGACTAAGGGACTGGAGCCGACACTGGAGCAGACTCAGGGACTGGAGCCGACACTAGAGCAGACTAAGGGACTGGAGCCGACACTAGAGCAGACTAAGGGACTGGAGCCGACACTGGAGCAGACTCAGGGACTGGAGCCGACACTAGAGCAGACTCAGGGACTGGAGCCGACACTAGAGCAGACTAAGGGACTGGAGCCGACACTAGAGCAGACTAAGGGACTGGAGCCGACACTAGAGCAGACTAAGGGACTGGAGCCGACACTAGAGCAGACTAAGGGACTGGAGCCGACACTGGATGGGCTGGAGCTGACTCAAGCACTGGAGCCGACACTGGATGGGCTGGAGCTGACTCAGGCACTGGAGCAGACAATGGAGAGGCTGGAGCCGACATTGGAGTGGACTCAGGGACTGGAGCCGACACTGGAGCTAATTCAGGGACTGGAGCCGACGCTTGAGGGGCTGGAGCCAACACTGGAGTGGACTCGGGGACTGGAGCCGAGACTGGAGCTGACTCTGGGGCTGGAGTGGACCATCTTATCATAGTTAAGCCTATCCTCCACATTCAATTTAATTTTCCTAGTTCATGTTAGTTAATAAATTAACTAATGTTAACAAAACTTATTGTAGTGTTACCTAGAAATCGTATTACATTATAACTAATCGTATTACTTATAACATTATAAATGCCTTTACTGTCACTTTTGATCAATGCAATGCTTCCTTGGATAAAAGTATCAAATTATTTCAACAACAAAACACAAAATATTACTAACCAAACTTTTGAACAACAGTTTATGTAGCATAAAGATGCATTACAATTGGTGTCAAACTTCACACTGCTAAGTAATAACAATGAACATAATTTTGAGTTAATGTTGCTGTTGTTGTACTTATTTAACATAATGTGAAACATGCAAACTAATGTAATACAGGTGAGAGCACCCCCTTGCAGAATCCACACATTGTTTATCATTTAAAAAAAATTATACGATCACAAAATTTGCATTTTGTTGTTATTTCAGCCCGTTGTCATCCCAAGGCGTCATATACAAGCTTTTGCCAAAGCATAAACATCCAACGCACATAGCACCCTTTAGCGTCAATATGAGACGCAGATATGTATGGGCCAGAAGGCGCCTCCTAGTGGTCTAACCCTAACCCTACCCCAGACCTAAACCTACCCATACTCTGTGTGTTATATTGACGTTAAAGGGTGCCATGTGCGTTGCCAGGTGCGATGCCTTGGGATGAGAATGCCTTGGTTATTTAGTACTGCCCTGGTTTCACATAACAGATATTTACATACAGTATATGCCACAAGATAAAATAATAAATGTAAGTACACAAAATATTCTGTTCACAAATTTACATTCCCTTGGTTTTTACTATGGTGTGTTGCTTCCTATATTAATGTTTGCATGGTTTGTGATAGTTATTCATGAGTTCCTTGTTTGTAGTGTTCTTCAGAAAAATCCTCCAGGCCCTGTACATTATTTGGTTCTCCATAGTCTGCTACTGTGTTTGCGTCCTCCATCTGGTTTCCTCATATACTCGTCTCCCCTGCCAACTAAGGACCGTCTTTATAAATGTAAGTGTTCTCAGTGTTTTATCCATCATCAATAAGTTGGGTTCATCTGATATTTTGTCTTGTGGTAAATATATTATTATAAATTAACTGACAAATTCTTGCTACAATATATAAGCCTGTAGCATAAAGAAGTATTCAAATTTGTGAACAGAATTTACATAAATGCTGCGTAATAACAATAACTAATCCGACAACTCCTAATCCCAATACTAATCCCAGTCAGATTTCAGTGGGTCACAGAATTCGCCATTACAAACAAGACTTTCTCACACGCACACACTATATACTACATATGAATTTTCCTTCTTATTGCACAATGTAGTGAAGACTTACTCCTTCATGTGTGTATGTTTTGACCACACAATCAAATATCCCTTTATACACAGACTGGGTCTGCAAGCGCACCTATGAACAAAACAAAGGAATAAATCTCAGTAATTGAAATCAAATCACCAAGTCATCTTTTTTTTTTTTTACTTTTTTTTTTTACTTTTTTTACTGTCAAGGAAACTCACCTTTACTGTGTCCAAAGGGTGTCCGACAACTAAACCAACAGCACCTAACACCATATGATCAACCGCATGTGAATCATTTACAAGTTTGCAACATGGAACTGTGAATCATTTATAATATGCATGAATATATCTTATATAGTGATATATAATTAATTTATTTTTACCATGCAAAACAGTAGCCGACTATGGCGGTATCACAGTAAAGGGATAGAATTAGATAATACTTTAATCTTTCTGATACAGTACTACTTAATGATATATGCTATATGCTATTAATGGTATATGCTATTTAAAGGTATGGAGTAAAAAACGATGATACTAAGAGGTTTTTATTTTTGGGTGTTTTTTTTTCTTTTTCCTCCGTTTATAAACCGAGCAGATTAAAAATCAAAGCAAATATATTTTATTTGTCACGTTATTGTAACCATACATTTGGTGCGTTTTGTTTTAAAGCCAAAGTTAAGAATTAGCCTACCTGAAATCCACCCCGCGATGAACTCCTCAAACGGCATGGCACATTTACCTGTAGGCTACAATATATAAATAATGAATAAAAACGAAAACTTTCACCATGTAACGTTACATTAATCCCAGCTGAAAAATGTGTTCTATGTGCGCGTGAAAAGCGTGAGGGAAACTAATGAAGGTCCTGCCAAAGTTCAGTCAGCGAGATGATGAATAGCCTACCTACATTCAGAAATATCTCTTAATTCTCCAACACAAACGCGGATATCTTAAAGCTTCTGCCTACTTTCACGACATAACATTCTTGTTTCCATTTAACGTTAATTTTATCCCACAGCAAGCATGTTGTGCAGAACTCTTCTTGCTTCAGGAAACTGTATTTTAACGACGACCTTCTGCTATGTCACTGACCTTTCCTGAACTCAAATAGTCCACATTATTTGAAGAAACTTACCTTATTGTTGTCGCTAAACAGAAAAAGATATGAGTTAAAAAAAACGTTTTTTTTTTTTTTAAAAAAAAAAAGAGTTTCTCTACTGCCGTCTGGTGGTGATAATGTACCTTAACTGTTAACATATGTTTATATAGATTAACTCGACTGTTATTCTTGTCAACCATTACCTGGAAGAAAATTAATCTATAAACACACACACACACACACACACACACACGTGATGATGAGACGCTTGATCACAAACGCTATTTTTGTTGACTTCATATTTTAATTTCAGGGGAATAAACTGGATCTTACATCAACTGGAAAAAACATCATATTCGCATTTGCACTGTAATTAACATTTTGCATTCTAAATAAAATAAAAAAGATCAAAATATTGTCGACATAAATAAGTCCTTATAGATGTTTACTACAGAAATGTACAAGCCTTCATCATATTTCCATCAAAAGGAAGGGTCAACAGTGTAATTATATAAATTGATTACAGCTGTAATTACATGCAAGTATTTTTTAAAATTTAAGTACAATGTAAAACCATGTATTTACACACTGTAAAAATGAATATACTTTATCTAATCAATATAATTGTGGCAACAGATTACAAGCAAGAAACTTTATATACCATTTAAAATGAGTAAAGTTTACACCAAAAAATGTAACAAAAATATCTCACTAACAGACAGATGTCAAAGATTAATTGAGATCTCTTTATTTTATATTGCCAACATTGAAGACACCTGATGTTAACAAGCAGAATCACTGAAGGAGAAAACAGATCACCATAATGGGGACTACAAATATGTTTCTTTGGTTGTTGTTATAAGTTTTGCTCATTTTAAATGGTTAAGTTTTAAGGAATTAATTTGATTAATCATTACTCAATTCTAATTTGTTAAGTTTAATTCATAATAATACTTGTAATCTGATTAGATAAAGCATATTCATTTTTACAGTGCACAGTTAGTAAAAATAATCCTGTAAAAAAAACGGTAAACTACTGGCAGCTGTGGTTGTCAGCATCATACTGTAAAAATACAGTGTGTTGCTGTTTTTGAAATTAACAGCCAAATACCGTATTGTCAGCTACAGTATAAAACCCTAATTTAACGGCCATATGCTCTAACACAAAAACAGTAACACACCGTATAGTTACGGTATGATGCAGGCAACCACAGCTGCCGGTAGTTTACCGTTTATTTTTTACAGAGTATTGTATTAAAGCCACTTAATATAAAGTGAGACCAAAACAATCTATGAACAGAATCCAATTAATTCTAATGCATAGATATATTATCTGATATAGACGCTGTGGCTACTGCATGTTGACTGCGTTTTACTGCATGAATTTGCATAAAATCTATTAATAGAACTCAGTTAGTACAGGTCCAGTTGTAATTCCTATTGTTCCTATCAACGTAATGACACACAGATCTGGAAGGGTTTAGACTTGACCCTTTCCTGGGATTCGATGGAAGGTTCTGGCCCTTCAGGAGCTGAGAATGAGAACCTTTGGAGGAGTGAAGTGAAGAACAGGAACAGTGTACTCCGTGCCAGCTGCTCACCAAGACACGACCTTTTCCCTGGAGAAATGTAAAGCCAGGATACACGTATGCACACATCATCTTGCATTAAACATTATCTGTAAGTGTGAGCGAAAAAATACAATAAAAGACTACCTGCAGAAAATGGATAAAATACTTCCCGTTTCCTGAAATTCCTTTGGTCATCTAGGAAGTGCTCGGGATAAAACTGATCTGGCTTTTTCCATTGTGATGAATCCTTCAGCACAGAGCAGAGATTACAAATCACCACTGTGCCCTTGAGTGAAAGGAAACAGAGAAACATACTCGTATAATTAGAATTAATAACAGCAAAAATTTCATATCTGTAAATACAGTCCATTGTGAAAAAGGTCAACTTAAGCGTACATTTAAAAATAATTTTATTTTTGCTAAAAAAAATACTTTTTAAATATGCTTTAAATGAATGTACTTAAAGGGTTAGTTCACCCAAAAATGAAAATTAAGTCATTAATTACTCACCCCCATGCTGTACCAACCCCGTAAGACCTTCGTTCATCTTCGGAACACAAATAAAGATATTTTTGATTGAATCTGAGGGCTGGATCACTTTTCCATAGACAGCCTGAGGGACTGCCTCTTGACGGCCCAGAAAGTCATTAAAAGAAAACCGTTCGAGACCGTTCTTCTTCGACTACTTTTTGTTACCAGCTGCTCACCGCTTAGGAGTTTTACTGCCCCCTACCGTATAAGATGACGTACTGCTTGTAAACAGAACGTTTTGCGCCTCCGGCTATATCAGTACGTCATCTTATACGGTAGGGGGCGGTAAAACTCCTAAGCGGTGAGCAGCCGGTAACAAGAAGTAGTCGAAGAAGAACGGTCTCGTCTCAGTTCTCGCGCATGCGCCCATAAGGAAGTAATGGAAAGTCGAATAAAGTCGTTATTTACGTTTTTTTTTTCGCACAAAAAGTAGTCTCGTCGCTTGATAAAGTTATAGTTGAGCCGCTGTAGGCACATGGAATATTTAAACCTTTTCTTTTAATGACTTTCTGGGCCGTCAAGAGGCAGTCCCTCAGGCTGTCTATGGAAGAGTGATCCAGCTCTCAGATTCAATCAAAAATATCTTTATTTGTGTTCCGAAGATGAACGAAGGTCTTACGGGGTTGGTACAGCATGGGGGTGAGTAATTAATGACTTAATTTTCATTTTTGGGTGAACTAACCCTTTAAGTGCGAAATTAATTCCGACACTTAACTGCATGTTATTTGCAATTAAATAAAAATGTATTATAATTAAAATTCATAATAAATGTAGTAACTGAACTTAAGAGTGCATTTTTTTAGGCTTACTTAAGTACATTTTTATATGTAATTTCATAATTATTTCTATTGTCTTTGAAATGGTTAAAGTCAATGTACTGACCAGAAATTATGGTAAACTAAAATATACTTTAATGTAATTTCTATTGAAAATTGTATGTATTTAAATAATTTGGACTTTACATGTACTTAAGTATGTTACTCACATGAGTACTTCTTTAAAACATGACAAAAGATTACTAAAACACGATTTAGAAGGTGTAAAATGTAAATGTAGACTTTTTAAAAGTGTACTTGAGTGTTTTGAGGAACACTCACGTACTTTTAAGATTTGAAAAACACTACAAACATTCAATACAATTATTTTAAGGTGACGTATTACATTGTACTTACTTAAGTGAGTTCTACTAATTAACTACATGTGCTTACTATAGAGTTACAGTTAGGGTTGGGTTTTGAATAGTTAGTTACTTGTAAATATGCATAATTTACTATAGTAAGTGCATGTAGTAACATGCAACTATGTCACCTTAAAGTAAAAGTGTTGCCCTTCTTTTTTTACAAAGAGCATTAACCAATATCAGGGGTTTTCAAACAGATTTTGTTTAATCAGGCTCTTTAAAGGGGTGGTAAAATGCCATTTTCACAAGATGTAAAATAAATCTCTGATGTCCCCAGAATGTGTGTGTAAAGTATTACCATATAATACCCCACAGATATTTTTATATAGCAAGTTGTCACTTTTGTAGGGTTTGCAAAAACGCACCGTTTTGTGCCTGGCCCTTTAAATGCAAACGAGCTGCTGCAGAGGGCGGGGTTTCAAGAGCTCTGTTAGCAGCTGCGATCAACAATGACAGAAACTGTTCTCCCTTTATTGTTAAAACGGAGTCAGTCAAAGATGGAGAGACTCAAGAAGAGGTGACAACATGTAGAATGCAACAGGACGTCTCTGAATGGTTAGTTGATGCATTTATGTTGCTGATGTGAAGTTAACTATCTTCAAATAGCATATTGTGTCATGCTAATCTATAAATCGCTCTTGTGAGATGCACACAGAGTGACTTTCTGTTGCATGTGAAAAGACGCATGCTAAAGTTTGAGCTGACTCACAAACATCCACTCTTCCTCTTCTCAAAATGGAGTGTGTTCCCGGGGACGGGGTTTATGTTCATTTTAGGGTAGGTGATGTTAACCCGGGAGGAATGTCGTGTAGTACCTTCCAGCCGTTTGTTGTAGTCCTTTTCTTTAAAAGCAAATTTCTTCCTTTGCTTTGAACTTTGAACGTTGTAACTTTGATAATGTCGTTTACGTTCAAACAGTAAGTAAAGTGAAATCATACTTTACCACCCCTTTAAGAACATTTGAACACTTTTCCTTACAAACCTTGTTCAAATATGCAGTATGTTCCCAGTGCAATTTACAAATTACCCAAAGCAAAACATATAAGCAAAAGGACAAAAGAATCAAAGAAGTGCAACCATACCAAATTTCATTATAACAATAGTACAAAACTAGAGCAGAAGTACTTTAGGAATGAAGTATCCAGCCAGCACAGAGTCTCGACTTGTCAGACGGGGAGCGATCAGAGGTAAGATGTTGCTCACTCTCTGAGTTTCATGAATAACTGCATTTGTGTAAGGCATACTGGCTCGGTCTACCAAACATGGCTGCCGAGACTTCCCGATTACGCAGTCGATCTCATCTTGAACTTTCTCTATGAAGAATTACAACAATCATACAGCTGCATACAATGTTAACAGCCATTTAGTGTGATTAATTCACATCATGAAATATATTAAGCAAGTCTATTAATATAAATTTCTATAGCAATATCACAAAATAGATGTTTTCAAGTTCACTTACTTTGGACTTTGGGGTACTTGATCATTAGAAGTAAAGCCTGTCGTAGGGTGTCACTCATGGTCTGTGTCCCAGCCTTCAACAGGTCCACAGTGATACAGGCAAGATTATCCACAGTGAAAGCAGCCTCTGTATCTTTCCTTCTCTAAAACAAAGCCATGATTCAGACAACATTGGACCAGATTTAATATTCAATACCAAAAATTCTATCAAAGCATAAAACTGTAGTAGTAGTAGTCCTAAAAAAAAGTTGTATGACCCTACAAGTTTGATTAAACCAATCAA